ATAACCATCCCACAGTGCTCTGTCCGGTATAACCATCCCACAGTGCTCTATCTAGTATAACCATCCCTCAGTGCTCTATCCGGTATAACCATCCCGCAGTGCTCTGTCCGGTATAACCATCCCGCGGTGCTCTATCCGGTATAACCATCCCACAATGTTCTATCCAGTATAACCATCCCACAGTGCTCTGTCCGGTATAACCATCCCACAGTGCTCTATCCGGTATAACCATCCCACGGTGCTCTATCCGGTATAACCATCCCGCGGTGTTCTATCCGGTATAACCATCCCACAGCGCTCTGTGTTAGCCAACTTTTTATTGTGGCTACACTCTGAGACTGCCACCTTACAAGGAAGAAAGGTTTATCTTGGCTTACAGCTTCTGAGGTTTCATTCTCTGTCCCTGGTCCTTGCTGCCCTTGGGCCTGTGATACAGCAGAGTATTTGGGTAGAGATGTAAGATGGTACAAAACGGAGCATCTCATGGTGGCTGGGAGCATTAAAAGAAAACAAAGCAAGAAAGGAACCCAGGCCCTACCCTTCCCTCAGGGGTATGCCTGCTGTTTGGGCGACCCCCGATACTGCCAAACTGGGGTCCAGGCCTTTCTGTGGGGGGCCTTTGGAGACACCCCATATCTTGTAGTAGCACATGAAAAGAACACTTATCTCTCTGAAGGTCCCAAGGTTTCAGGAGCCATGTGCCAGGAAGTGGGGCTAGAGACCAAATATGTATTTCCTTTATCAACAGTATCACAGTAGCTGTTGCTTTTATGTGTGCTCACCATGCTGCAGGTCCTACAGACACAGTGGCCCTGCCATTCTGAGTCTGTGTGTGTGCTGTGGATACACTTGTGGTGTAAATTGGGGACTTGGTTGTGGTTTTAAGGCAGTGCTGAATGTGTCATCAGTCATTGATTACCTCAAATGGTAAAGCCTTGCTCAATATCCAGGACTCCGCTACTGTGCGGGAGCAGTACAGTATATGTTGGTGGTACAGTATCCTCTGCTTGAGGAAGCAGAATGGTCAGAACAGTTAAAAAATTTAAAGGGAGACTCTCATACCACGGGAGCCTCCTCAGAGAATCAGGATCCAACAGAAATGGTTGTCAAAGCAGCGCACTTACAAGCCACGTAGCTGCCGGAGCGAAGGACATGGGCTTGCACCAGACAGTGAGCCTGGTGTGGGTGGCGTGGGGTGGGGTTGACAGTATGTAGCCTTAGTGGGCTCCTTGGCCCTTGGCAAGCTAAGGCTGCTGCTGCTGCTGCTGCTGCTGCTGCTGTTCAGTCATTGATCTGAGGCATCAGAAGGATGTGTAAGTCTCTGGAACAGTCTGTGAGCTGGAGAAGTTGGGAAAGAACTGATGGTGCAAACGGGGGAGGAACCTGCTAAGATGAGGGACAGGCAGGATGCATGGAGCAGGAAGGGGTAGGACTAGATAAATGAAGAACGTGGTTTAAAAAAAGAGTCAAGAGCCAGAAAGACGGCTTTACTGAGCCAGTGCCACAGACAGCATGCTTCTGACTGCAAAGGCTTGGTGGGTCACGGTCCTGTGGACATTGTCAAAAGCAGAAGGTGGACATTGTGATCTGACCCATTGTACAGCTCACCACGGTAGCTTGCCAGTGCTTAAACTTGGACCACAGTAGAAGATTCCCAAAACAAGACAAACCACTTATAATCACCATTATTAATGCAATGAATGACTTTCAGAATTAGTTCTTGCTACATGCTTGGTAATGCTATTAATTCATTGTAAAGTACTACCACTCAAGGCTGAGCAGCACTTATTTGAGAAGCTTATACTGTATTAAGTTCACTCTTACTGGGGAGGAATAAAATGGGAAGGTCTGATCAGGAATATTCCCTAGCTCATGTTGCCACTCTGGCAGAAGCCCGTGTCTGTTGGGAGTCCTCACCTCGGCGGTGATGTAGAGGTTGGTCTACACTGTAATCCTTGCTGTGAGGGGTGGGCGTGTGCTCCACCATCTGGACCAGTACTTTGATAGAAAGACTCATGAGGCTGCAGCGCTCTTGAACACAGTTACTTGCTCCTTGAAATGGAAGGGTGTGCCCCACCAGCCAAGGCCATGGTTGAGTCTCAGAAGAGGAAGGTGTTGAGGCCAGCATGTGGTTACTAATGATTGGAGACACACATAGAGATGGGCCTTGGAAGCAGGACTGTTACTGGAGGTTGGTCATAAGTTCATGGGTGACCACTTCATCACTCCATCTCTGCCCTCCGGAGGTCTTGTTACCAAGGACTGTTGGGCACGGCCAAGGTCTGGGAAGGAGACACTCCTAGGACTGGACAGCCAGGCTTGTGGGGAGAGCTCTTACTTTGGACATCTTGAGAGAACAGGCCCATAAAAAGAACATAATGAGCTCTACGGCAACTGCATCTGTTCAGATCAATATCTGCATACAGATCCCATGCTTGCGGTCCTGTTGAGAGCCTGTTTCCAGAGTCACCAAGGTCTGAGCTATGGCAGCATTGCTGGGGAGCACGTGCAGCACAGTAACCCTGAGCTGTCGTCACCCCGAAAAGCACTTGTTTTCTCGGTAATCCGTCTGTACTTCGTAATTTCATCAGTAAACACTTGGAAGCTTGGTTGTACTTACTACGTATTGCACTCAGCTCACACTTGACCTACATGCCTAAATTCTACTATCTGGACCTCTGCAGAAGTGTGCCACGCTTCCATTGTAGTTCACAGACACCTTACAGTGCCTGCCATTTTAATTGCGTGTCGGGGGAGTGGGGGGTGGGGGTGCGCATAGGTGCAAGTACCCGAGGAGGCCAGGAGAGGATGTCGGGTCCTTGAGCTGGCGTTACGGGCGGTTGTCATCGCTCCATGAGGGTGTTGAGCTGTACATATAACCACGAAGCCGTCTCTAGCCCACCTACTGCTGGTATTTTTTATCATACAGACCTTTTCAGGGTGTGTGTGTATAACTGGATATCAAAACCAGGGTCTTGTACTGTCACCCCCAGCTCCCACTCTTGGGAGTCTGCATCTCTTCTGCAGGTGTGTGGTGGCTCTTGGCTCCTGGGTAGGCTGTACTGGTTTGTTTTCTAGGTGGTTGGTCCATTTCATCAGTTGTTGAGTGATTGGCATAAACATCTTATCACCGCCTTGTCACTTGACCTTCCCACAGCACTGGGACCTGTAGGGATGTCCCCCTGTCGTGGCTGATGGTGGTTTTCTGTAGCTTTTCTCTTTTATTCATGATCATTTATTAATGTTTTAACCACTCTCTGGTTTGATTTTTTTTTTCCCTCTTGTCTAAGTTCACATTGATTTTAGTTCATTTTTTTTCTGCCTTCTTTATTTTCTTACTAATGTATAATGTACACTTAGCATACTTCATTCTTGTTGGGCAGGCACCCCTGAGGTTTGGGGAAGGTGTGTGGTTGAGTCGCTGCTGCCACAGACATAATGTGTGGCCCTGTCCATGAGCGAGCCCTCCCATCATGGTACCACCCCATCCCCATACCAGTGCCCATCCCCTGTTCTTGGATGTCTGTGTGCCTGCCCTTCTCTGAGATGAGCTACCTCAGTGCCTGCCTCTTGGGAGACATTAGCTTTTATTCCAGAGTTTGACAAGTATAAATAATTTGGGGTTTGGGCTTATTTTGCTATGATTTGTAATCATGAAAGTTTAGATTGTGGATGCCTTTTTCCCCCCTTTAAAATTTTTTTTTGGTTTTTTTGAGACAGGATTTTTTTCATAGAGCTCTGGCTGTCTGGAACTTGCTCTGTAGACCAGGCTAGCCTCAAACTCACAGAGATCCACCTGCCTCTGCCTCCTGAGTGCTGGGATTAAAGGTGTGCACCACCACTGTCTGGCTCAAAGTATATTTCTGCATTGGCTGGGACTCGAACCTAGGGCCTCCCATGTGGCGGGCGAGAATTCTACCACTGAACCACCAGTGCTTTTGGGTGCCCTATTAAAAAACTAGTTTTATTAAGAAATGATCCACATTGATGAATTTCAACAAAGTGCCCAGGAGGGCCCCAAATCTAAGCCCAGAGACTTCCTCCAATTCTGTACTCTTTCCTTCCCTTGGGCCTTGCTTTTTCCAGGAGACCCTCCACCCTGGTGTGAATGCCTCTGAGCACTAGCTGCTGGAGGTAAAAGGATGTGGCTGACCTGCTGGCAGGTGGCCCAGGCTCAGGAAGCAATATGGTGGCAGGCCTGCAAGTGTGTGCCTACGTGGGAGCAGGGAACTGCAGTTGCTAACTCTGCCCATTTCAACAGGAGGAACCTTCTAGTCACCTCAGCTAAGGAGGGGGTTCATTGCCAAGGAGTTCTGCCAGCCTGGCAGGATGACAATCCAGCATGCTCTCTGTACTGGGACTCCTGGAGCGTTGTGGTCGTGGGGTGATCTGAGCTGTCCAGGCTAAGTCTGCCAGCTTTCAAAGTCTTCGTGTCTATCTGTGGAGCCTGGCCTCTGGTGGTGAATGGTAGACAGACGGTTCTTGCCTGCAGCAGCTACTTGGGAAGGTGTCCAATAGTTTTGAGCAAGGGCCTCAGGGTAGCTTTAGAGTTGGACTTTAAGGGGGAAGTCAGCCCCCACAGCCTTCCCACTAAGGCTTATGCTCCTGAAGGCAGTTGACATTGGGGGTTTGAGGGCTGCAGGCCCCTCCCAGGACAGCCCCTCAATCCTACCTCTTCCTAGCCCACTGCAGCTATGATCTGGCCCAGCACCCCTCTCTGGGTTCTGACAGTGGAGGGCTTTGCCTCCTCCATTCCCCAGCCCTCCAGTCCCTAGCAGAGTGGGGCTGGGGCTTAGAGGGTCAGCTTGAGGCTCCCAGTCAGTTCTTTGGGGGTCCTAAGAATGGTGGGAATGACTTAGAGACTTGGTGCTTTGTGTGATGGCCTCTCTGTTTGCAGACTATGTCTACTTTGAGAACTCCTCCAGCAATCCGTACCTGATCCGCAGGATTGAAGAGCTCAATAAGGTAAGGGCTCAACACAGGAACACTACTGCCTGGCCCTGGTGGGGAGGGGTGGAGCCTTCCCTGTTGTGGGTGGTGAGGGTCTTCCTGCCTGGATTTTGATGTCCCTCCAGGGGAGGCTGTGAGTGAGTCCCTGTGGCTCTTTACGGGCCATGTCTAGGCTTTTTTAAATTTTATGTGTATGGGTGTTTTGTCTGCATGCGTATCTGTGCCTGAGGAGGCCGGAGTGGGCATTGGATCCCCTGGAACTAGATGGAGTTACAGATTGTGAGCTGCCATGTGGATGCTGGGAATCAAACCCAAATCCTCTGGAAGAGCAGCCAGTGCTCTTAACCACTGAGTCATTTCTCCAGCCTTTGCCTAGGCTTCTTGAGGACAAGCCCAGGGCAGCCTTGAGGTGTTGTAGTCTTCCTACCTCATCTCCCAGCAAATATTGCTCTGTCCGAGGCATGGACTTGAGCACACCAAGGACTCAGAGGGATCTGAGTGGATGATTCTGGAGACTAGTGACAGATCAGGGGCAGTGGCCTTCAGTGTTCTTGGTTCCAACTACACATACATGCTCTCTCCTCATCCTCCTCCCATTTCCGTTAGCCTAGGTAACTTCCTGGACACAGGACTACCACGAACATTTCAAAATTGTCTGCTCTGTCCATTACAGCCTTGAGGGCGCATGCAGTATTTATATACTGGGGGTCCTTGTTGATGTCATACTCTGGTCACTTCTTCTACCATGGTTTGTGTATGCTAGGATGTTGGGAATCCTTGGCAGATGCTTAGTCCTTGGTCTGGGGACATGGTTGTTCCATTACTGGAACCCCAGGATATCCACATGCCACCTAGGGTGGAGGCTAGGAGTGTGGAGACATGGACAAGTTGACACATGAGTAGAGGCTTTTCAAGGGTGCTAGGGTAGGCGGGCATGTTCCTGCTCTGCTTCTTCCAATGCCAGGCAGAGGACAGGAACAAATTTCCCAAACCCGTGTCCCCGAAAACACACTCTTTCCTGCCATACTGGGTGGTCGTGAGGCCTCCGTAGCCTTCTTGAGTACCACAAACCAGTGAGGAGGTTGCTTTCCTAGGCCTCCAGGCTTGCTGGAGTTGTGGCTTGGGATTCTTGGGATCAAATGGACAGGGAAGGCAAGGTTGAACGCTACCCCTCAGGTGGCCCTGTTGAGCCTGGCCAGGCCCTGCAGTGGCTCTTGATGGAAGCCTAGGTGTAGCCCAGCTTCTAGGGTGTGACCTTACCAGCTCCAGCTCCTGGGGACCCATGTTGCTCAGGCTGTGCTGTCTAAGGCCTTATGCTGCTGCTGCAGCATCTGCTACCAGCCCAGGGATAAGTTGTGTGTGCATGTGTGCATGTGTACACCGGGGATGTCTTGGGAAGATGAAGTGAAGTTAGTCAGAGCATACAGGGAGCTCCTGGAGGCCTGAGGCCTGTCATGGCATCGGTGGGTACGAGTGTCTCCTCTGATATACTTCACTGGGACCAGAGCCCTGACGAGAACCTCAGGGTTGGCCCTGGTCATGGTTGCCAGTAGGCAGGGCAGTAGGTTGGGTAGCTGGAGCTCTTCTCGGTTTGAACAGTTGGCTGCTATAGATGTGGACCAACAGGCTCTCATTTACACATTTCAGTTGCACAGACTTGGACATGAGCAAACAAGTTTGTAGAGGAGTACCCCATCTGCAGTGAGTGGGCCAAGTCTGGCTGGCTGTGTCCCCTAGATCCTCAGTGAGCAGCAGCTAGAGGGTGTCCCCTGGCCCAGCATGTGTAGCATTTTGAGTGGTAGTCCGGCGTAAGTCTCACCTACCTCAAAGCCAAGTGCAGAGGACACGTCATGGAGTGGCGAGGTGTGAGCTGCACGGGCAGGCTCACACCCCAGCTGTGGACCAGTCTTGCTGTCCCTTAATGTCAGACTCTGTTAGAGGGGTGGGGCTCCTCTCTGGGCTTCTGTTTTGGCCTCAGTCATGGACCTCTATGGCAGAGCATACCTCTGATTTCCACAGTCTGAGAGAGGTACTCTAGGTTTCACCCTGCAACACTTGAGGCTAACAAGGCAGTGTGACTTGCCTGATGTCCCTGGCTGCCATCCGCAGTTAGCATGTCCAACACACATGAAACGTTCTCAGGACTGTTAGAGAGGAAAGACAAGTACCTTCAGTGACGAGGAACTGGATCCCAGAGGCTGTGCGAGATGAATACATACGTGAAAACGGAACCAGGAGGAAAAGGAGCTGCCCGAGCAGGGGACAGAACCCAGGGCCCAGGAGGGAGAGAGGACCAAGCATGGGCAGGTGCTGTGGCCAGGGCACAGAGTGAGAGAAGCTCCCTAAACGAGATGGACTTAGCGAAGTGCAAACAGAAAGGGAGGATTGGTAACAGTTGAGGACACTGTCTAGAAAGTAGGACAGGAGCAGAGAGACTGGGACACAAATCAGAAAACCAGAGACAACTCCAAAACCCAGCACCCACTGAGAAGGAATTACAGGAAACAAGAGTCTCCCAACAGGTAGGAGTGACCCAAGGAATAGGGACCGAACAGGGGGTCTTCTTAGGTGTGTCCTGTCATTCAGAACACAAGAGACAGAATAATTTAGCGGGGTTGGGTGGTGGTTGTACATGCCTTTAATCTCAGCACTTTGGAGACAGGGACAGTGGAACTCCAAATTTGAAGCCGGCCTGGTCTACATAGTATGTTCAAGTCGAACCAGGGCCAGATAGTGAGACCCTGTCTCAAATAACCCCCCCCCCAAAAAAAAACCTCCTCTCAGTTTAGAGGAGAAGCGGACTGTATGGGCACACAGCTGCACTTGGCCTTTTCCAGTCTATGCAGAAGGCAGGTCATCCCAACCCTGTGTCCAGTTAAAGACGGGCAAGTGACCACCTTTATACCTGCTGGCCTCTCAGAGTCTTTATACCTGCTGGCTACAGTGAGACGAGACCATCATCCTGGGTACGCTAAGAGGTCCCCCAGCTTAGACAGCCGTAAAGATGATGTGGGAGTGTCACCAGTGATTAAAGCTTGACATTTGTTCCTAGCCCCCACTTGTAAGCTGTTTGGAGGATTCCATGATAGACAGTTGAGGGGAAAACTAGGTAAACAGAGCAATGTGAATGGACATGAGCTTGGGGAATGGGGAAGAAGGAACAGGGTCATGGTGTTGGCTCAGCCATTTTTCTGTAGTTACATTTGATCAGAGTATGTGGTCATTTTTCTGTAGTTCTATGTAGTCAGAGTATGTGATGGTTGATTAGTATTGTCAGCTTGACAGAATCTAGAATCACATGCAAGACTGCCCTCTGGGCACACCTTGGGGGGTGTCTTCCCTTGATTATGTAAATTGAGGTAGGGAGACCTGTCCACTTCTGGCAGCACCCTTCCCTGGCTGAGACCCCAGACAGTGTAAGCTGAGAAAGGGAGCTGAGCAGCCCCAGGCTACCTCACTCTGCTTCCTGACTGTGGATACCATGTGACTAGCTGTTTCAAGCTCCTGGTGCGTGCCTTCTCTGCCATAGTGGACTGTAACACGGACCTGTGAGCCAGGCTAAGTCCTTTCCTCCCTTAAGTTACTCTGTCAGAGTGACTTAACACAGCAGCAGGAAAAGAAAGGAAGACAGCATAAACGTGGAACAGCATTAAAATACTGTACTGCCGGGAGGCAGAGGCAGGTGGATCTCTGTGAGTTCAAGGCCAGCCTGGTCTACAGAGTAAGTTCCAGGACCGCTGAGACTGTTACACGGAGAAACCCTATCTTGAAAAACCAAAATAAATAAAATAAGTGCTGTATTGAGGGATGTGCGATGGTATTGGGCTGGGTGCGGAGTGCGCTGTGGCCACAGTAACTGTCAGAGCCTGTGGAAGTCCGGGCCCAGGTGGCTGTCTTGGGGTGGGGCTGCTGTTGCTGCAGGACTCACTGTGAGTGTCGATGCTTCAGACTATGAACTGCTTCACCATGTGAGGTCTGTCAGCCAGAAGAGCCAACCAGAGAGATCTCAGTGGCCATAGAGGATGGACAGAGTTCTCTGGGATGATGGCTCTGGGTATAGCAGATGTCCACAGACCATGCCAATGTGCGTGAGTGAACAGGGTGGATAAACAGGAGTGAGGAGACAGGTACCTTGTGTAGAACTTGGTGATATATACATTCTCCACCCAGGGTGGGAACACTAGCCAGGGTTATAACCTTTCATCATTACAACATTATTGTTAGTTTTTAGGCAGGGTCTCATGTATAGTTCTGACTTGCCTGGAATCACTGTGTAGACCAGGCTGGTCTTCAACCCACAGAGATCTGCCTCCCCCTGCCTCTCAAGTTCTGAGATTAAAGATGTGCCCTGCATTATTTAGCATTTATGTGAACCCTGGCTAGTTGTATAGTATTCTCTGCTAGTGCTAACATGCAGAGTGTTACAGGAACCCAGGTCAAGGTCCACAGTTGACTCAAGGTCTCACCTTGGTGGTTCCTGTTGGTGGTGTGGGTCCAGGTGACCAGGTCTCCACTGCTGGCAGTCCTGGGGTGGACAGTGTTGGAGCCTGACCTGGAAGGGAAGAAGGGTACCTGCAGTCTGTGTCAGGGCTGTCCTTAGGCTTTTTGGTAAAGGGCTGCTGCTATCTTAGGGCCGCTATCTTGGTGGGGCCCCTGGCTGGCAATGTAGAACCTCATGGGTCCAGGTCATTGGGTGGGAGAAATCAATCTGTGTGTCTAGCGTTCATTCCCTTTCGGTCACATTTACCTGACTTTGATGAGTCAGAGGTTTGGCTGTCCTCAGCTCACTCCTCGGGGCCTCACACCTGGGCTCAGGTATTGGAGATCTGTCATTTTCCTCTGAATGTTTCTGGTTGGGGCCTTGGTCCTGTCTCAAGGCCCCTTTTGGGAATTCCATTGCTCAGACACCTCTGCCTTGCTGTTACAGACAGCCAACGGGAATGTGGAGGCCAAGGTGGTGTGTTTCTACAGAAGGCGGGACATTTCCAGCAGTCTCATCGCCCTGGCTGACAAGCATGCAAGTGAGTCCCAGCCTTTCCCCTGGGGTGATGGGCCTGCCCCCTTCAGTGCCTGCTCTTGGGTTCTGGCCTCACTGAGGCCTTTCTGCTGGCCTGCTTTGTCCTTTCCTGTCTCTAGCTGTATTCTGACACCTTTATAGCTCTGTGCAAGTGCATAGTCCCTCTGAAGTCCTGTTTACCCATGGGCTAGGGTGAAACATCCCTCTTTGTGCCCCATACCCATAGTTGTGGTCCAGTGTGGGATGTTGGTGTACCTGGTGCCTGGCTCAGACCCATAGGGCAGACGATAAGGAAGGTCCTGGCCCAGAGCAGATGCTGTGGTCATTGTCTGGCCCTTGAGATAGACTGATTCATTTCACTGGAAGATGTCTATGTTTTCAGTAGTTTTTTCAGAAACGAAGACCTTCCTCCTTGCTCAAGGGAACTCAAACCCAAGCCTAATAAGCATGGTCCAAGGGCACTTTTCCTCTCTGTTGGAACCTTGCCTGGTCCTCATGGTTAGGGGCTGACCTCTCACTGAAGCAGGCCGGTATCATGACTGGAGCAGGCCTATGTGAGTGCTGCATAACTGCTGAGCCCTGGGTGCTTGACCCAGGCATTCTGCCTCAGCCTGGGAACTGTAAGGCGCTCGCCACTGTGGGTGAGGAGCAGAGTTGCCTGGGCTGTCCACCCAGGGAGGGTACTTTTCCATTCAGAGTTCGATAGGTATCATCCCTGACTTTTCGTTGCTGGGCGAAGGGCTCAAGGCCCACTTGTGACGCACATGCGCAGTGCACATGCACACACACACACACACACACACACACACACACACACACACACACGCCTGTGCACACACTCCGTCATCCCCACTCCTGACAGGTAAGGGTAGGGTTGCAGGAGCCAGCATACCCTTGTGGTGGCAGCCAGTCAGGTGGGAACCCTAGAAACCCACCTCAAGCAGGAGTGTGAGAGGCAGGGTGTCCAGAAGTAGCTGTCCTCCCCAGGGACTAGGTCAGGGAGGAGCAAGAAGGAGCCAGAGCTGACTTGAGAGTAGGGTTGGTTGTGCAGTGACGTCCTGTCATCCTGCAGGTAGCCCTGGATGACTCACTAGCACAGCACTGTGACCCTTTGTTTTTGCTTCCAAAATGAAAATGCAGCCCTCATCTTAGACCATGTGCTTAGGAGCCCTTTTGGATGCAAAGCTGGGCTCCCTCGACCTCTGACCTCAAAGCCTGTGGGTGCATATGCTTCATGCTCTGTGAATGTTTGACTTGATTGTAACCTGCAGGTGTGGGTCTCAAGTCTGCAGTAAAGTCAGAGCCATCTTGTGTCCACCGCAGTTGAGGGGATGGTCTGCTGGAAGGGCAGTGACCTGCTTTAAGGACCACTGTACAGTCCGAACCTCCTGCTGTCTCGGACGCCCCAGAGGTGCTACTGTCTCTGTGGAGGAGGGTGTGTGGTGTGAAGACTCAGTCCCAGGAGGATTACCTCAGTGTGGAGGGCCTCCCAGAACCAGGGCGTCTACAGAGCCCCCACACTGTGCTCCCAGAAAAGCTGCGTGGGGCATCTCTGGCCAGGCCTCTCGTGAGCTTCATCAAGCTGAGGAGGCGGGCATCATGAGTACCAGGGCTGACTTCTCTCGGCCTGTCATGTGACTGCCGAGTGCCCCATTCCCTGGGGCTGCCTCCTGATGACGTGGCTCCCCATAGCCAGGGCACACACAGCTGTTTGCACAGTAGGGGGCATTAGAGGAGCTAGAGACCCAGAGAGGGCCCTGCCTTGTGGTCAGGAGCTTCTGGCTTCCCAGTTGGTGCACTGCCAGGGTGTCTAGTCCAAGCACTGGCCTCAGATGGGAGGCCAGACACTGTAGCTTATGGTGCACCCATACAGGAACCCCTTCCAGATGCCCACAGAGGGAAATGTGGCCTGGCCTCTACCCAGTACCCTCCAGAGCAAGGTTAGGCCTTAGCAGAGTGAGACCGGAGGTGGCGTGGGAGCCCAGAGCTGGTACTTCTAGGCCTGGGAAGAGGGGAGGGCGTGGAGTATGGGTTGGGACTGTCCCACCGCCTTCAGGATTTGTCCTTTGTAAGGTCTCCAGGGAGAGCTGGAGCCAGAGGCTGTGCGTATAGCCGTGATAGGGTCTGGCTCTGCTTTAGGCCTAGAAGAGATGAGGGCATCCTAGAACTACTTGGTGTCTTTCAGGGTTAGTGGGGGATTGTACCTGAAGCCTGACACTGATGCAGCCCACAGGTCCCTCTATCATGAGGGTGTGGCTGTGTCCCCTAGATGTACTGTATAATGCAGAGTGGGTGTGCATAAAAGCTAACCTCATGTAACTACATCTCAGGCTCTAAATGATGGTGTGCATAGCTCCTGTCCACTGGGCAGGAGCTGCTCTGAACAGACCTGCCTGCCTTGTTTAGGAGGAAAATAGCTCAGTGGAGATGCCCCGGGCCCAGTCATACAGAGAACATCTCTCCCAGCCCTGGCCTCCATCTAAGATGCCTAAGGCTAAGGATTCCTTTCCCAAAAGTGCCAGAACGCCCTGCAGTCACCACATGGGGGCGACAGAGAGCAGCCATGTCTGGCAGCCTTATTGGAGCTGTGGGTGTTGGCAGGGCTGTCCCCCTGCTGGACACACTAGGCAAGCCTGGGCTTCACTGTGCACATTATTCCATACTCCCCAATTCCGGGATCTGGGATAGGCAAAGGAGTATTTTGTTGATGCAGGGTCGTAGACAGTAGCCAGACCACCTGGCGTTTGGTACAGCCTGGGTTTCTCGCAATAGCCAGTGTCCTCTGCTGGCCGTCCTGTTGTTTTCTTGCCTTTCTCTGGGCAGTCTTGTCTGGAGGCCCCTGACTCCTGTGTTTTCTGCCGTCTAGGGAGGAGTCAGGCCCCGACTGGTGCAGTGTGTGTGCACATTCTGGTTGGGGTGGTCAAGAGCTTCACTCACAGAAGGTCTCAGACAGTAGTTGGAAGAGGGATGGGTCTTGGGTGGGCGGCCTGAATGTTGGAGCAGTCAGGAGACTCAGGTAGTCTTTGGCTGGGTGGTGTTCATCCTCTGCTGGGAGGCCTGTGGCCCCCATGTCTCCTCGGTCCGGGCCCTGGGCAGGGAGCAAGCGCTGGCACTGGCCCTAACCTGCCATCTGGGCGCTGTCTGTCTGTTATGTAGCCCTGTCAGTCTGCTATAGAGCCGGACCGGGGGCGGACACCGGCGAGGAAGGTAAGAGCCGACCTCTGCAAGGAGGGTGTCCTCGCGTCTGTGTCCCTGGGCTGGGGCGGGCGACGCACAGGTGGATGTCTCCTGGATGGGCTGCCTGCGTGCCCATCCCTGCATCCTCTGCCAGCCGGCTGAGGGCTGGGAACCCCAATGTTCAGCCTGTAGCCCGGCCTTGACTGTGGCCCAGGCCTCAAGGGGATGTCCTGCTAGTGCAGGACATCTACTGTGTCTTGTGCAGGGCCGTCTGGCCTCAGGCTAGCGGGTAAAACCTCCTGTCCTGAACATGTAGTGTGCCCATGTTTTTCCTGCCTCTCTCTGCCTGCTGCTTCTGAGGCCAGTCTGAATACTGTCCTCCTCTTCCCATCTGATGTTGAGCCCTCTACTCCAGGGTTCCAGGGCATCTGTGGGGCTGCCCAGAGCTCCTGAGCCACCTCGGAGTGGGCAGAGATGTGATAGGCAGGGAAGTGGCCCTCCTGCGCTTGGTGCCCTGCACGAGGGAGAGCTAGCTTGGGGGGCAGGGTTCTCAGTTGCCATCTTCAGGGATGACTGACAGGACCTCTTTGTCCTCTAGGGGAAGTGGAGGAAGAGGTGGAGAACCCAGAGATGGTGGACCTGCCTGAGAAACTGAAGCATCAGCTGCGGCACCGGGAACTGTTCCTCTCTCGGCAGTTGGAGTCACTGCCCGCCACCCACATCAGGTAGTTCTCGAGGCCCCGCCTGGTGCCCTGCCGCCTGCCCCTCCTTCTCTTACCCATTCTTCTCTTCCAGGGGCAAATGCAGTGTTACCCTGCTCAATGAGACTGAGTCACTCAAATCCTACCTGGAGCGTGAGGTAAGACTCATCTACTGTTTTCTGGCCTGGCTTGATGCCTGCCCTTTAACTGTACTGCGACTCCTTCCCTGCCCACAGTGCCCTGTCACCAGGACCCAGAGAAGTTTGTCTGGATCCTGTTGGCCATTTCAGGTGTTCACAGGCATTTCTTCAAGATGACCCCTGTGTGGAGGCTCCAACTCTGGGGGAATAAGTGGTTGGCATTGATGAGCCTTCCTAGCCAGGGTTCCAGGGACAAGAGCCACCTTGTCTCCTACCTGGGTGCTCGCAGAAAAACTTTGTGGATAACACATGGAAAACAGAAGGCTACACGGGCCATCTCTGTCCACAGCCTGAAGTGACCTCAGGGCTGCTGCCTTTGGGGCAAGTGGTTCTTCTGTAGGGTCACTGTGCACACAGTTGGGTAGTACCCATTAGATACCACTCCCTAGAGAAATTAGCGTCTCTGGGGAAGCGAAGCCCCTGAGGATGTTGTAGGGTACCTACTACTGGGAAGGTCAGGTTTCTGAGCCTGGTTGTGTGACTCTCAGCCTGGGTCCGTCGTGAAAAGCTGCAGCCTGCTGCTATGGTGTTTAGCTGTGCTTGGTGAAACCACACAGTAAGTTCCAGGACAGCCAAGGGCTACACAGTAACCTGTCTCAAACACCTTGTGGGGAGAGGGGGAGAAGAAATTCACCTCAGGAGAGCAGCAAAACACAAGGTGCCTAGGAACAAACCCTCCAACAGGCTGCAGGCAAGCAGGCATGTGAGGCTGCACCAAGCACAGCTGGACACCACAGCAGGCTGCAGCTTTTCACGGCTGACCCAGGCTGAGAGTCACACAGCCAGCCTTTCTCTGTCTCAGGCCGTAAGCCCAATCCTACTCCTTACAGTCAGCATGGCGTTGGTTCTGAGTAGTATCTCCTGGGCCTGAGATCAGTTCCTCCCCATAGCCTGGCTCTCAGTGCTCCCCGGCCTGCTGCCCAGCTCTTCCACAGCTCTTGGGCTGCTGGTCCTCACCTTACATTCCATCCCATGGCCAGCAGTTCCTCTGCCTCTTTCCAGCTCCTAATCTACTTCCTGTTACCACTCTGAAACTAACTTCTCTCAACTGCCACACCGGGGTGTTAGTACCACATTCAGACCTGTCAGTGAATGCTGCCTTTCTCAGGGGTCCAGCCCACCCAGGGGGTAGTGGTACTGTCCCAGACCCATCAGTGTTCAGACCCCATACCATTTTTCTGAATTATAAAAACCATGCAGCCTGTTTCATGCTAAGCCTCACTCGCTGGAAGGCCTGGGGTACTGACCACACTAGGTGTCCCTCTGTTGGCCACTGCCTGTGGGAGGGCTGCTCTTCTTGGTGGGATCCTTGTTTCTTTTCTTTTCTTTCTTTTTTGTTGGTTTGTTTTGTTTTGTTTTATACGAGACAGGGTTCTCTGTGTAACAGCCCTGGCTGTCTTGGAACTTACTCTGTAGACCAGGCTGGCCTCGAACTCACAGAGATCCACCTGACTCTGCCTCCCGAGTGCTGGGATTAAAGGCTACGCCACCACTGCCCAACAGGGTCCCTGTTTCTTGAGACTTTGCCTGTGAGGGCTGAGGCCTAGGCAAAGTATGATTCTTAAGAGACTATTGGTAGTTACGCCTGGTAAGCCACAGGTATTCAAGGGGAAAAAATAGCAGTCTCAGGCACACAGAGGGCAGTGAGTTGCCTAGCCAGAAGAAGCAGGAACCTGCTTTTTTCATCACTCAGGTATCGCATGTTTCCTAAACATCTAAATGGAAAAACAGTATCAAGAGCACATGGGCTTCACCACCTGGACGCAGGCAGCACCTGGAACACTCTAGGCTGTCTGTGTGTCACTCATACTACTGGGGCTGCCACTGTGTGTGCCATATTACCACTGGCCTTTGGCTCACAAATGCTTGTGACTCTTCCCATCCTGTAGTCACCCTTCTCCACAGCTGTCAGCGGGGTCCTTCCAAAGCTCCTCTCTGCCCAGGGGAAACACACCCAGCATCAACCACAGCCCCGCCCTCCTGTGTGGCCAATGGTCCTCCACGGCCTCCTCCTCCGTAGGCCTGGCCTGCCTCGGGGACTGTGGCGCACATCTCATGGTGCTCAGACTCCTGGCCCTGCAGGACTTCAGGCAGTTCTCACCAGACCAATATGTCCACGGCTGCTCAGACTCGTGGGCCTGAAGGGGCTCACGGAGCAATAGCTGAACTACCATGTCTGGTAACAGGGCTGGGAACAGAGCAGGTTCACAGTGAGCGCTTTCTCAACCTTTCCCTGTCTCAGGCTCTAAGACCAATCCTATTCCTTATTGTCAGACTAACCTCGAACTCACAGAGCTCTGCCTGCTTCTGCCTCTCAAGTGCTGGGATTAAAGGCGTGCGCCACTATGCCCGGCCTTCCTAAGTTGAATTTCAAATTGTTACTGAGACAGAAAGACTGTGGCTCTGTGAGGGCTGTGCCCAGTGACCTTGGCAAGCTCGTGGCTCATCAGCTCTTAGCTCCTGACCAGACAAGCACCTTCTGCGGCACTTTGATCAGGTCCCTCCCAGTTCTTACTTCATTTCTGTTCTGGGGTCATGGACAGGCAGGTCACCGGGCCCCCTCCCCCCCATCAGAACTGGACAGGCTTGTTGGAAACAGCTGAAGGTAGAGGACTCACCTGACGCCTCTGTCTTGTGTTTTTCAGGATTTCTTCTTCTATTCTCTAGTCTACGACCCACAGCAGAAGACCCTCCTGGCCGACAAAGGGGAGATCCGAGTAGGAAACCGGTACCAGGCCGACATCACTGACTTGCTGAAGGAAGGTGAGGTTCAGGTTGGGCCGTGGCAGGCAGGAAGCTGCGGGTAGTGCCTGCAGCTGCAGCCTGGGTTACCTCGGCTTTCCAAGCCTCCTTCCTAGTGGACGTTGGGATCCAGCAGCAAGTCTCAACCCCAGAGCCACCTGTGGACCTGCTGTGGCTGCTTGAACTCGGATTTCCCTTCAGCAGTTCATTACGACTTTGATTTTATATTTTTCAGCTAGGCAAGTGCTCTACACATGCCACACCCCTAGCCTCATTCCTTATTTCATTTATTTACTTACATTTTGTGTGTGTGGATATTCTGCTTGCATATATATTGGTGCACCACTTTTTAACAGTGCCATGGAGTCAGAAGAAAGCGTTGGCTCCCCTGTGGCTGGAGTTATAAAAGGTTGTGAGCCACCCTGTGGGTTCTGAGAGTTGAACCCAGGTTTCCTGGAAGAGCAGTCAGTGCTGTTAACCATTGAGCCATCTCCCTAGCCCCATCCCAGGGTCTCACTTACTTATATAGTCCAAACTGACCTTGAACTTGTCACCCTCTTGCTTCAGCCACCACACATGGTTCATTATAGTTTTTACATTTGTGTGTGGTGTGTGCATGGGGGTGGGCGTGCATGCCTGTGGGTGGTGTGTGTGTGTGTGTGTGTGTGTGTGTGTGTGTGTGTGTGTGTGTGTAGAGGTCAGAAGACAACTTGGTGGAGTCTGTTTTCTCATCCCACCATGTGAGACTCCGGGATCAAACCAGGTCCTCAGTGTGTGTGTGGAGGTCAGAGGACAGTCTGAGGAGTCACTTCTCTCTAGCATGTGGGTTCTGGAGACGGAACTCAGCCTGTCCGGCTTGGCTGCAAGCATCTTTGCATACTGAGCCATCTCACCACCACCTCGTCTTTTGGGGATGAGTGTGAAATGACATTTATTCATTTGTTAATCTGTATGTAGGGGTGGTCAGAGGACACCCTGCAAGGACAGGTCCTATCCTACTATGTGGGTCACAGAGGTCAAACTCGGGTTGTCACCTTTGGTCGGAAGGTTTTTTTGCCACCGCCAGAGCAGATTGATGTCCATCAACTCGGACCTGGCACCTGAGGCTTGCGGGTCCGTCCCACATCCTCCTTCCGCAGCCTTGCAGAATGGTCTGATGAGCTCCAGGTCCTGGCCCCAGTGGCTGTCAGGGGCTCCGTACCCCATGTGACTGTCGGTGCATTCTAAGGGATTGCCGAGGCTGTGAGGCTGTTGCTGTTTTATTCTCTGGCAGTACTTCAGATAGAACCTTGTGTGTGCGAGGACAGTGCGCTGCCTTCTTAGAGTGCTTGGCCCTAGTGTGGTGCATGGTGACGTCATTTTGCATGCCCTTCCCTTTACCATATTGGTTTCTAGTCTTGGTGTTTTCTGGTGCTTGTTGGATCTCAGAATGAGGTCCTAGGCCCAATGGGTGGGTGCTGGGTGGGGCCTGGCTCATCAGACGGCTGGCTCTGGGTACAAGGCTCTGTGTTTGGGAGACTGTCCTTTGTTGACTTCTGTCCCATGGTTGAGCTTGTCACCCTGTCCCTGACACATCCTGATGCCCACACACAACCTCTTAGCCAGAGCCAGCTGCTGTCTGTGCTGGCCTCTCTTGAGCTTCTGCCCCAAATGGCCCAGCCCTGAGGCTCTGTAGGCAGTCCTGAACCATGCCCAGCCTCCTGGGCTGAAGCCCAGTATCTGCTTGCTTAGCCAGGGTCAGCGGGAAGTAACAGAGGCCCTGCCTATGAAATCCACATGAACTTGGGTTCCACGGGGACCCGAGAGGCGGGAGAGGTCTCAAAGGTCAGAGGACCTCAGTTGGAGCATCTGTTCCTCTGAATCTGGCGTGTCCATGTTCCTAGGCATTTGTGGGCTCAGTGATGAGTGCTAGGAGAATCCCCAAGAGAGCCATGCTTTGGCTTCAGGGCCCCACGGGAGCCGCCTGCCACAGTGGCCTCTTCTCTCAGCACACTCCTCTGCAGCCTTTTGACACAAAGACAGTTACTTCCCCATGATGTCTTCCTTAAAAATTATAGTTACTTTTTTTATTTTTCGAGACAGGGTTTCTCTGTGCAGCTTTGTGCCTTTTCTGAATCTCGCTCTGTAGACCAGGCTGGCCTCGAACTCACAGAGATCCGCCTGCCTCTGCCTCCCAAGTGCTGGGATTAAAGGCGTGCGCCACTACTGCCCAGCCTTATATTTACTTTTAATCATGTATATATGCCATGTTGGGGGTGCCCACCAGGACCAGAGATGTTGGCTCCCTTGGAGCTGGAGTTCAGGTGTTTGTGAGCTGCTAGACACGGGTACTGGGAATTGAACTCAGGTCCTCTGGAAGAGCATACTCTTAACATGCTCTTAACTGCTGGGCCATCTCCAGCCCCATGCTGCCTCCAGTAACTGTGTTGGAAATTTCAAAATGAGCAATGTGGGTTGGGATCCCCCGGCATTCTTTGCTCTCTGTTCCAGGCAGTTGTAAATCATTTACTGTGAACAATGTCTTGGTTTGGGGGACCCTGGAATGCCAGGGGTTACACCCTGTGACCCCAGGTGAAGGGAGTGAGTACAGTCCACACCAAGACAGAAACTCACCCATAGCACGGGGGGTGGGGTGGGGGGGGTTGGGAGGGGTGGATGCCACTGTACCAGGCCGGCATAGGCTGGAGTTCATAGAATCCAGCTGTGGACCGTGACCACCAGAGAACTGATGATTCAAGTTCTTCAGTCTCTACTGTGGTCTCTGCCGGGTCTTCTGCAGTGCTGGGCTTCCATCCCGGGGCCCTCATCCTCTGTGACTGGCCCTGCCCTGGATTTAGGGCTCAGAGATAGTAACTCTTTAAGAGGGTCAGAAATATCTCCTTGGAGACGTCCAGTCCTTTTGTTAGAGAACTTGCTCCGTGCCCTGACTTGGAACCCAGTACCCTGTAGGCACTCAAGTGCTGGCTGTTCATGGCCACATGGTACATTGATGCCAAGGGCCAAAGGGGAGTTGATTGGATCTGATGCAAATTTCGAAGCATGATACCCTTCATTAAATTATGAATGTAGCCCTTGGCTGGAGAGTCAGACAATGGATGATTGTGGGATTTATCCTCGGGGCATCTCCCTAGAGTCAGGCCTGACCTGGCTCATGACACAGTTCTCTTCGAGACTCTTGGTGCTTGTACGCCTTTTATGAGTATACAGTTATTTCATCAGTAATTGTCCCCAGACTCTCAGAGTAATAGAAATCAAAGAGCAGAGTGCCCAGCACCTCCCCTTCCCCAGGTCATCCCCTCCCCAGGTATTGGGTATATAAGATGTACAAGTCAATCCTGAGCCAAGTGTGCCTTGGAGGTTTTATGTGAGGATATGTGTGCTGGCCTCCCCTCCAGGCTAGCACTTCCCGTCACCTGGGGAAAAGGAGAGCAAACCGACTTTTGGTTCCACTCTGGAGTTTTTTCCACAGTCTTTGCTGTTCTAAGGGACACTTGTTCCCCATAGGTGAGGAGGACGGCCGTGATCAGTCGAAACTGGAGACCAAGGTGTGGGAAGCCCATAATCCGCTTGTGGATAAGCAGATTGACCAGTTCCTTGTAGTGGCCCGGTGAGTTCAATACCAGGGACAAACAGGTTGTTGCCTGAAGCACTGTGATGGGTCTTGGAGACATGGAGCCTTAATTTGTACATGCAACATGAAGTCCATGGTCTTGTCCTTGTTTCCTGCTCAGATCTTTCCCTGAGTATGGATGGAGGCTTTTAGGGCTGCAAATGCCCCTGGGTCCCTTTGGATCCCGTGACAAGTGTGCCTGTGTGTCTGGGCCTATGTTCTCACTGTGTGCCTGAGGTCTGTCTCCACCATAGGCAGGTGCTCCTCCCAGGGCTAGGCTGGGACCCATCTAAAAGCTCCCAGCTGTCCCAGTGGGTGGCTGGAGGCTGCTTGAATGGAGGTAGGACCCCAGAACCAGTGCTGAGCCTACACAGCAGTTGAAGCCCAGATAGATCTCAGCATGGCCCAGGAGGAGGCCTGGCTACATTTGCCATAGACAATGAGGCTTAGGGTCCTCAGGTGTGAGGCAGCTCCCTGTAGAGAGATCTCCAGCAGACACACTGGAGATGGCAGATTCTCCTAAGCGGCATTGAGGCACTTTCGTAAGTTCTTTGTCCCCGACTCATTTGCACACGGGGACTCATATGCCACCAAGATGCTCCTGCAGCTTCTCCCTGTCTCCTCTGAAGCTGAGCCCCAGAGGCCTTTGGTGGGTGCCCCGGGGCCCCGGCCCTCACTGTCTTGCCTGGTGAGGCAATCCCTCCAAGTCAGCTCTGGTGGTTAGTGAGTCTCCCTCTTCCCAGCTCCGTGGGCACCTTTGCACGGGCCCTGGATTGCAGCAGCTCCGTGCGGCAGCCTAGCCTGCACATGAGTGCCGCAGCAGCCTCCCGAGACATCACCCTGGTGAGTGGGCCACTGCCACCTCCCCTGCTTTCTTCTGGGGTCCGACAGCCACATAGGCACGGAGGGTCCTAGCAAGGTAACTGAGGACTTCAGCGTCTCCTAGTACACCTTAGATTTGTTTAACATATGCTGAGGGAGTTAGGGAGGGGGGAGGGGGGAGGGGGGAGGGGCCCCACCCAGGGGCCTTGGCAGCCCCTAGATTGCCACTTTGAGACCTGAAGGAGTGGGCGGGTCACATCGTGGTTCCGGAAGGTCCTCCTTAGGGCCTGGGGACAGCCTGGACCCAGGGGAGCCCTGCTGTCTTACAGTTCCATGCCATGGACACGCTGCACAAGAACATCTACGACATCTCCAAGGCTATCTCAGCCCTCGTGCCTCAGGGGGGGCCGGTGCTCTGCCGGGATGAGATGGAGGAGTGGTCGGCATCAGAAGCCAACCTCTTTGAGGAAGCTCTGGAAAAATATGGGAAAGATTTCACAGACATTCAACAAGATTTTGTAAGTGCTTAAGTGAGGTTGGGGGAGTGGCTGGCCAGGCCCATCTCTCACCCAGGAAGATGCCTGTGCCCATGGCCAGGCCTCTGTGCTTCCAGTCCAGACATAGTATGGCTACTAGTGAGCACTGGGTAGGCATAGGCCCGCACTGTGGAGCTAGGATACTGCTGTGAAGGAGGTTCCCCTGGAGGCATCCTCAAGTCTTATCAGCTGCTTGAACTTGTTTTTGTTTTGTTCTTAACTAAGCTGAGCCTCCCTCCTGTGTGCAGTTCCAGCAAGTCTTTAGGGTCTTTACTATGAGAGGACCCAAGCCCTCAGAGCCCCTAAGTCCCCAAAGGACTGCACAGTATTAACCTTGACTGAAAGCCTGCAGGCACTCTAGTGAAGGAAGGAGCTTGTCTGTGTGAGGTTAGGCAGCTGGGCCACCTTACCCACAGCCTGGAGGAGGTGGGCTACTAGGTGCCAGGATGGGTAGTGAGTGGACTGTATTGTCCATTGGAGCACCATCAGAATAACAAGGCTCAGCATGGTGAAACATGCCTATAATCCCAGCATTCGGGAGGCTGAGGCAGGAGGATTGTGAGTTTGAGACCAGCCTGGGAAACACTTAGAAACTTCTACAAACAACAAACAAATGTAGTTAGCAAGCCCAGCCCAGGGTGGGAGAGCCAAGAGCATGCAGAGTGCTAACATGGCCATAGACAGAGGGTCTGAAGGTCTGCAGGAACAGCCTGGGAGCCCAGGTGCCCGTCACTCCAATGCCCACAGAACCCACGGTCTCTGCTGGACAGCCTGGCATGTAACTGGATTAGAAAAACAAGTCAAGTGAGCACAACCTTTTTAGACAAAAAGTAGCGTTAGAAGAATGGGATAGAAATAAACCAGCAGTTAGAACAGAGGTGGTGGCGTTTGAGGGGGGACTGGACATGGTTGCTACAGTGGGTTGGACAGCCCTGTGGAATCTCAATATTTCTAGACATAGTTCAGCAGATAAACTGCTAGAGAGCAAGGCCTGCTGGTCAGTGGATCAAGTGAACCAAATACAGAAACAGGATTCTGCACAGAACAGACATACCCAGCTTTTGTGTAGCCCAGGCCACAAGACACACTTTTGTGAGTCTGCTCTTGGGAATTGTTCATGCAGATAAAGCTGATAAATACTAAAGAAACAAAGTTCTCAGATGCTAGACTTTTAAAGACTGAAGCCCTAGCCTTGGGGTATAGCCCAGGGATAAGATGCTTGCCTTTCATGGCCAAGACTCTGGGTTTGATCCCCACTACTGGCAAAACAACCTATGAGCCCTTTGAAATTAACAGTGCCATTTTAAACAGTAGTTTGAGGTGAGAAGACTGAGCTTCAGTCGCTTGGCTTGTGGCCCGGGAAGCATGGGGAGAGGGCAGGGTTAAGGGGCTCCACTCACTGCTGTGTGCTGAAAGATCAGAATCACCCAGCCCCTCAACACTCGGCTACAGATAAGGGAAGGACAAAGACTATGGGGAAGAAGCCGTGGAGTTAACTAACCCAGAGAGGCGGCAAAGGTGCCTTTCCAACCCGGGTGGGGGCAGCACTGGGATGTGGACGGGGCAGCGGCCTCTCGTCCTGTCTTGGACCCTCTTCTGCTACTAGAGCAAAGCCCCTGGGTAATTCGGAACAAATCCATCAGTCTGTGGTTCTGGAGGCTGAGAGGTCCATGGTCGTGGTGGGAGGCAGAAGGGCAGGACAAGAAGGTCTCTGATCCTCAGTAAGGACAGCAAGGCTGCTGTCACCTCGCTCAGGTTCTCCGACATAATGGTGATTGTTCTAGCGTGGGTTTTCAGGGAAGGTCAGCCACACATTCCTGTGGTTAACACAGTGGGGGAGGGGGGCTTGTTGTGCTGTTAGTGGGGGACCAGAATTGCCATCCCAGCACTGCCCCTGCCTTTGCGCCCTGTCCCCAGCCTGTCTGGGCAGTAGTCCTGTCCCTGCCACCCCTGATGTTGCCTTCTCACCCCAGCTCCCATGGAAATCGCTCACCAGCATCATTGAATACTACTACATGTGGAAGACCACCGACAGATACGTCCAGCAGGTGGGCCGTCCCACCCTCCCTCACGACACCTTCCCCCACAGTCCCCAGATAGTCACATTAATTTGTTTATACCTTCCCTAAGCCTGGAGCAAAGAGGAAGGAGCCACGGTCCCTAGAGGACTCAGATTGGGAGGAAGGGACATTCCTGAACCCTAGCCAGCCTGACACCCCCACTTCCTGGCCCTAGGCTGGCCAGAGAGAGCCATGCACAATTTTCACAAGTCTTTCCCAAGGGAGCCAGTGATGGAGAAACAATGGTGTCCCCTCCCTGCGGTCTCCCAGCTGCCCTGGCCAGCCTGGTGACTTCCCTAACCCTCTGTTTTGTTTTAAGAAACGGTTGAAAGCAGCTGAAGCAGAGAGCAAGTTAAAGCAGGTTTATATTCCCAACTAGTAAGTTCCTTCTTATGTTCCTGGGGCCAGTATGGACGGACGGCAGTGGGCATGGGACTCTGAGGGTCCACTGGGGTCAGGTGGCTTCCGGAGCTAAGTCAAGGAGCCTCTGTCACCCTCTTGATGAGCTTGCTCAGCTGGGGAGGAGGGATCAGGCTTCAACTTCTTTTGGCCCAGGAGTCAAGCTGGGTTTAGTGCTCAGCATATTGGGGCATGGGGTATGGCAGCCATAACACAAGGGACTAGGGGTACAGGGATGTCTGTTGGGATACAGACACCCCGGAGCACCTGTGACTGATCCTTCTCCTCCATCAGTAACAAGCCAAATCCAAACCAGATCAGCGTCAACAGTGTCAAGGCCAGTGTAGTGAATGGCACAGGAACACCAGGCCAGAGCCCCGGGGCCGGCCGGGCCTGCGAGAGCTGTTACAGTAAGTGCTGTACCTGGTATCCACCCTGGGCAGCAAGGGCCATGGGAATGCTACTGCGTGGCTGTGGTGTTCATGGGGCCCCTAAAGGCCCCTGGCCCAGACCTGGAATGACTCCCCACAATGGGGCTGCAGTGGTGGGGGCGTGGTTTGGAAGAGTTCCTCAGGAACATGAGGTGGACCTCCGTTGGCCCTGGGCCAGTGGGTGGGATGGCTGTGGTGGCGGTGGGGACACTGTGGGATGCTCTCTGCACCGTTGGTTCTGCTTAAGAATCCGTCTATTTCCAACTTTGTTGTCCGTAGCCACACAGTCTTACCAGTGGTATTCTTGGGGTCCCCCTAACATGCAGTGTCGCCTCTGCGCATCTTGTTGGACATATTGGAAGAAATATGGTGGCTTGAAAATGCCAACCCGGTTAGATGGAGAGAGGCCGGGACCAAACCGCAATAACATGGTAAGTGGGACATGCCATACCTATCACCTGCTGCATGTAGGCCTCAGGTCCTTGGCCTCCAGTCACGGTGCTGTGTTGGGGTGGTGTGCCCCATTCCACAGAGTCCCCATGGCATCCCAGCCCGGAGCAGTGGGAGCCCCAAGTTTGCCATGAAGACAAGGCAGGCCTTCTACCTGCACACTACCAAGTTGACACGCATTGCCCGGCGCTTGTGCCGTGAGATCCTACGCCCATGGCATGCCGCACGCCACCCCTACATGCCCATCAACAGCGCAGCAATCAAGGCTGAATGTGAGTCATTCTTTGTTCCCTTTCTTGGGGCCGGCAGGAGCCACACCCAGGCAGTGTCCAGGTTGGGGTAAAGGTAAGGGCCCTGACTCTTGGGGAACATAGCCCTTCACCCAACCTCGCCCTCCTGTAGGCACAGCACGGCTGCCTGAAGCTTCCCAGAGCCCACTGGTGCTGAAGCAGGTAGTGCGGAAGCCCCTGGAGGCTGTGCTCCGGTACCTTGGTAAGCTGGAGCGGGGGGACGTGGCCTTCTGACTCTAATCCTAGCAGCCGTCTAGGAAACGCTGCACGATCACTAGAACTACCGTTTGGCTGAGGCCGCCCTGTGCCGGGCTTAGTGACACCCAGGCCGCAGTGCTGCTTGCTGCCCTCCTTGGTCCTGAGCCCCTGGCTCTTTGACTGTAACCTCACTGGACACCCAGTAAGGGCCCTGTGTCTCTCTGTGTGGCCCTGGCTGTCCTAGAACTAACTCACTCAGTAGACCAGGCTGGTCTCCAACTCAGAGATCCTCCTGCCTCTGTTTCCCAAGTATTAGGATTAAAGGTGTGCACCATTGCACCTGACTTCTGACTAGGGTTTATGTCAGGTGTAACCCAACCTGCAAGTCTACCAAGGCAGGGTGGACACCTGCCACCTGCAAAGAGGCCTCTCCCCGGCTGTAGGACAGCATTGCAGGCCTTTGTGAGCCCTTGGTGGCCCAGGTGCTCATCTGGCTAGCAGCCTTGCGGGGATGGTTCCTTGTTTGTGTTGGTCTGGGCACCGCTGAGATCTAGGCAGTGCTACTGGCCATTTAGAAATGGCACATTCTGAGGTTAAAGCAGATACTTGCGTTGTTTGCAGGGTTTAAGTGGGCTTGAGTCAGTCCTCCAGCGTGGAGGTAGCAGTCCTTCTAGAAAGGACATTCCAGAACCATGAGCTAAGTGTGTGCAGTGCAGACACAAGTGTCTCTGGCTTTGTTCCCTGTCCGGGGTCCGGGGCCCCAGGGCCGGCCGGCCTGGTTCTTGTTCCACAGGAGGATGTGGTCAGTGCCAGGACCCACCTTCTGTGGGGCGGGTCCTTGCTCAGGCCAGCCAGGCAGCTCAGTGTCTGGCCAGTAGCCAGTCTTCTGCCATCAGACCTGGTGGCCTGGATGTGGAGGCTGTCTGATGGGACTACTGTGTTTATGGGCTGTGTCTGGATCTTGTAAGCTCTTAGCACTTACCCAGCTATCCTGTCCAAGGCAGCAGGCTGGGCTCTACGTGGCTGTCCTGAAGATATCCTAGGGAGCCCTCTGGCTATTTTTCCCCAGCTTCAGTGAGCTCTGGTAGATAGTGACTGTTTTCTTCCAGCCTAGTCAGTGGGTTTCAGGGTGGGAAGATATTATTATTACTGTGTGGAGCCTCTTGTACTGCAGTTTCTGAATCACACCCTTGACTCTTACATTTCCACAGAGACCCACCCCCGCCCCCCGAAGCCTGACCCTGTGAAGAGTTCATCCAGCGTGCTCAGCAGTCTGACCCCTGCCAAGTCAGCCCCTGTCATCAACAATGGCTCCCCCACCATCTTGGGCAAGAGGAGCTATGAGCAGCACAATGGGGTGGATGGTGAGTCTGAGCCGCAGGGCTGGCCCTGTGAAGAGGTCAAGCCAGGTCTGTTGGGAGCTGCAGGGCTGGCCCTGTAAGGGGGTCAGGCCTACCGAGGGCCGTGGGGCTGGCCCTGGAGCTCCATATGACCCTTATTCAATTGGCTATCTTAGTTGATGGTGTTTTCTCTCCCTCTCTCTCCTGTCCCTGGGCACTGCCAGGCAACATGAAGAAGCGCCTCTTGATGCCCAGTAGGGGTAAGGCCTGGGGCGGCCGCTGGTGGGGTGCCGTGGCCGAGTCCTGTCGTGATGCCTGTGTGTGCTGTCTACTAGCAGACTGGGAGGTTCGGGGCACGTACAGGGGCAGTCCACACAGACCCAGGCCACAGTCCATACTCCCATGCTCTTGTAGACTTGTGACTTGGTAGAAGGCCCATGAGCCTGGGTCTCTGGCCTCGGCCCCCTCGGCCCCTCGGCCTGAGCGTGAGTGGACTGTCTTTGCACGAGGGCCCTGGCGCCCCCACTGCTGCCGCGCTGTGCCTGCTCGCATGCCTTCAGCCTTGCTTGTAGGGCCGCTAGTGCTACCTGCAGTTTTTGTGTGCCCTGCTTGATGGGGACAGTAGGATGGGCTGGTGGCTGGGCTTACATATGGTCTTCGTATCTGCTAAAGGTTAGCTCAGATTCTCCTGATGAGGTAAGGACTGTAGGGCAGGAGCCTGCTCTGGACATGAGGGAGAGCACCAAGTCTGATTGATGTCAGCGTGGGGGTTAGTGTTTAAGGCTGGACCTATGGGTAGCCAGGAAACCCCAGCCAGCCAGCATGAGCCTGCTCAGGCCCCTGTGCCGTCAGGACGAGCCCAGGAGGTAGCAGTGGGCAGTGACCATCCAATTGTACCTTATTCCCCCAGGACACTCCCCCTCGAGGCTGTTTTGGAAGCTTGCCAGCTGCTAGGCACCCAGGCAGGCATATCCCTTTTGTCTGGCTGCTGTTACCTGCACCTCACTCCAGGGTCCAGGCATAGCCTCCCCAGACCTGCTTCCGGCCTTACAGAGCTGTTTCCTTCACTCAGTTTCTCAGTCTATCATGCAGACCGAGGTGTGGTCTGCAATGGGGACCCAACCAGGACATGGTGGGACTCACTGGCCCTGCAGGTGGTCTAGGCAGCTCAGTCCCTGTGTCAGAGGGTCTAGCCATGAGAAATGGCTGTCCTGAAATTGTAAAACCGGGTCTCAGCACTAGACTTAGCCTAGGAGCCATGGGCTGGCTGCCTGGAGACAGCCCACCTTCTAGTGCTGCTGCGGTAGCCTCAGGAGTGGGCCTCGCATAACCAGGGCGGATGGGAGCTCTGGGCAAGGCGTTGGCCCCTGGCACCCTAGGTTCTTAACTCACTAACCCCTGCCCCATGCTGCCTGCTGCTCTGCCCTGCGGCTTAGCTGCCATGTGCATGCGGCTCACTCTAACTCTAGTGTGTATCTTCTCTCTCTGCCACCTCATCACTCTGGCAGGCACTTACCTGGGTAAGTAGCTCCTGTGATAGGGCTTTGTGTGGGCCCCGGGTTGGGGTCCCAGCAGGTGCCGTGAACAGGTCACCCCTGCCTGGGTGCTGTAGACCAGGAAATTGGGGCCCCTGAGAGCTAAATGAGCTTGCAGGGGAAGGCTGGATCCAGGATGCCAGAACAGGGTCGAATTGCAAGTAGAGGAGGTGGGACAGGCTCTTCAGAACTCTTCTTAGGAGGTGGGCCACCCTGTGATCCCCCACCCTTGGGAGGCCGAAGATAGGAGGGTCTCTGTTCCGGGTAGCTGAGATACATGTTAAGACTTTGTTGAGATCTCTGATGGGAAGTGTCTGATGACTGACAGAGTGCCAAGGGGTCCAGTGGCACTGGCTGGGCATGGTAGAGGAGTCCTATCTTGTCCCCCGCTTGGAGCCAGGCCATTCAGAGACCTGTTTGGCACACATGCTTACACATGCCAGCAGACCCAGGAGGCAATGATTCCTGAGGTGGGCCCAGCTGGGACTCCTGCTGGGGTGGGCTGACAGAGCCTAGATTTTGCCTCTCAGCTTCATCCTGTTGACATCTCAGTTCCTTTTTAGACCTGCAGCCTACAAGTCTGCTATTGTAGTCAGGGTAACTGCTTTTAGCATGTGAGCAACCGGCAGACAATGGCTGCCCCGAGAATGGATAGGGATGATGATGTACATACAGCTCTGCAGGCTGTCGCTTGACTAGTCACCTGTCTTGGCCTCGTTGGGGGCGTGCGGGGCGAAGGGGTAGTCATCTCTCACCTTCAAAGAAGCAAATATTAGATCTGAGACCTCTGTCCTCCTACCTGGAGCCCAAACTGCCAAACTGCTACATCTTCTGCTGGTCAGGATGTAGGTGGCTCTCAGGGTTAGCAGAGCTATGGGACCATCTGGGCTAGCTGCGAACAGGCCACTTGGGTGTGGGCTTTGGCTGGAGGGAGTGGCCTCAGGAGGGATCATGTCCCACCTCCATTCTAAGGCGAGCAGTGTGGGTGCTGAACGTGCTTCCCTGCTCTGGCCTCACTTGGTGTTCTTTTTCATCAGGTCTGGCAAACCATGGACAGACCAGGCACATGGTAAGAGTGGGTGACTGGGTGTGTTCACATCCCTCAGGTGTTGGGGAAGTGGCCCTGGTAGCCCCTACTCCCCAACCAGTGCCAGGGAGAGAGTATCTGGGAGTCCTGGCCAGACCTAGCAGGTAGCCTAGGCCCAGTACATTCAGGCCTGAGCGGCCCTCCAGGAGCTCCCTGCCTGGGCGGGTGCAGGCGGCCTATGGAACCCTGAGGCCTGGCTGCCCAGGAAGTTGGGCGCTTGGTCTGAGGGTTGTAAGTGAGGCCAGGGCACTGTTGCTCATACCTACCTCTTGTCCACTACAGGGACCAAGTCGGAATCTCCTGCTCAACGGGAAGTCCTACCCCACCAAAGTGCGGCTGATCCGCGGTGGCTCCCTGCCTCCAGTCAAGCGGCGGCGAATGAACTGGATTGACGCCCCAGACGACGTATTTTACATGGCCACTGAGGAGACCAGGTTGGAGCCTTTCCTGGGACGGGATGGGAGTTTTCAGCTACCGCTTTCTGGTGTTTACTGGCTCACCTCTTCCCACAGGAAAATCCGAAAGCTGCTCTCGTCCTCAGAAACCAAGCGTGCTGCCCGCCGGCCCTACAAGCCCATTGCCCTGCGCCAGAGCCAGGCCTTGCCGCTGCGGCCACCCCCACCTGCACCAGTCAACGATGAGCCCATTGTTATTGAGGACTAGGCGGCCCCTCCATCAGCCCCCGAGTATCCAGTGCGGCCTGCAGAGGCCAAGCGGCCTCCCTCCCCCCCAGACTGCTGCCCACCCCACCCTCTGGTTTCCATAGCGCCCCAAGTCCCGCCCTCACATGCAGAGACACTGCTCCTCTGGTGGACGTGCGGGGGAAGAAGTGTGTCTAACTTATTCCAAGACACCGAGGAGTCTTTTTTAGCTTTGTGTTTACTTTCTGGCTGGAGCAGAGATGAGGAACGCCCGGGCCCTGCACAGGGCTTCTCACCCGGGGTGGGCTCTAAGGTTTGTTGTGTTCTGTTGAAGGTGCCATTTTAAATTTTATTTTTATTACTTTTTTTGTAGATGAACTTGAGCTCTGTAACTTACACCTGGAATGTTAGGATTGGTGTGGCCAGCAGCGGCCAAGCTGCCTGGCGGGGTTGGTCCCTTGTCTTTTCAAGTAATTTTCATATTAAACAAAAACAAAGAAAAAAATCTCATAAAAAGGAAAACCCCAGCAAGCCCTTCTGCGTCCTTTGTTCCCAGCCCCCCTCCGGCCCCAACACCTGGAATACCCCAGGGCCTCTCCTGGCAGGTACACGGCCAAGCCCAGGAAGATGGGCCGGAGCCACAGGGCAGGCCAGATGCTGCCCAGCTCAGTGCTGAGGTCACTCAGGCTGTGGAGTGTACCACTCCGAGACCTGTTTCTGCAGGCCTTTGGCCCAGTGCCTGCTACCCTTCCCAGGGGGGCAGTGAGGGGCTGGCCATGGTGAGGACCTCCACACAGTGAGAGCTGACCCTACCTGAGGCCCCACAACTTTTCCCAACCAGGGTTCACTTAGATGGCACAAAAGCTCCAGGTCCAGGGCCACCGCCTGTGCGCTGACCCCTGGCCAGCTGTCAGGCCTTCTGCGCTGGGCCCTGCCACGCTGTGCTGGCAGGCGAGCTTTCCTCAAGTATTTGCTCATATTTCTGCTCAGAAACCTTATCTCCGCCTGTGCCTACCCTTGCAGGCCGAGAGACAGGTGCAGGCCTGGCCAGCTACCGGAGGAAGGAGGGATGGCTACGGACCATCGTCCCTCAGGCTTCTGCCTCTCAGCTGGCCAAGAAAAGGGTCAGCCAGCCCCTCCCTGGGAACAGTGGGGATATTTGGCCTCTGCCTCCTGCTTCTGCCCTACTCAGGCAGGCGCCTGTGATATGTGGAAATCTCAGATGGGGGGTTAAAATAGAAACCACTTATGTTCCCACTCTGGGTACAGATAAGGGGGTATCTTGGCTTTCCTGGGCCTGTGATGGGGCTTATCAGGGTGACAGGCCAGGTGTCTGGGATAGGGCTATGACATACCCCATCTTCCTAGGGTCATTAAGCTGCTTCCCCCAGCTGATGCTGGCTTCCACCTTGTCCTCTACTGCTCTGGGACTGCCCAGTCTCCAAGGGCCTCCTAGGAGTCCTCTCCCATGGGGGAGTCTGCAGGGAGCGTGGCTGTCGGCTCAAGCAAGGGGCAGATGAAGCCCCTTCTGAACTGGCTCCCTGTCCTCAGGCACAGGGTCTTCTAAAGGCTGTCCTTTTCAGGAGTCAGGCTGGGTAATGAGACATCCCTAGGTCCTGGCTGAGACAGAAACCCAAGGGCAAGAGGGCCTTCTACGAGTTCCCAGTGTCATCCTGGTATTCTTGACGTGCCTCAGTACCTCAGCTCTGGTGGCCACTATAGAAACAAAGCCATGTGTCTATGTGTCTACTGGAGATCAAAGCCAAGGCAAAGAATGGGAAGTGAACACAGGCCGGTGGCTGATGGGCCCAGGAAAGTACTCTGTTCCATCCGGAAGCCCTTTTTGATGAAGAAAATGGGCAGGGGACATTCTGTGAGGGCCAGGCACTCAGGACCCAAGGGACTGGTACTGACTTGAAGACCTGATGTGGAAGCAGCCTGCATACCTGCCCAGGTCACAGCTCAGAGCCTTTATCCCAGGCCTTGCCATGGACCCCAGGCATCACTGTGACTCAGCCCAGCCATGGGTTTCCTACAGTAGATCTGTGACCCTGCTCTAAGGGTGGGACACATGAAAATATAATTCCAAGATATTTTTTATCTTGCTGAGACTGTAGAGACATGACCTGCTCCACCCCCTGCCATCTTCCATACTTCATGGATGATGAGAGGGTACAGTAAGGGTTGATTCGGTTGGGAGCCGGGGCCCCTATGAATCCAGCCTGAACAGAACCTGGCTATGAATGAAGGGGTCCTATCCAGGAAGGTACTGTGGAACCCCCTACCCACCTCTTCCTTTGGCTGGTCCGTGTCCAGAGATGCCTTTCTGTCCCTGCCCATGCTGTCCTGTTACTGCCCTTTTGCCCCCCACAGCCTCAGATGCGCAGGCCAAGGCCACCGTTCTGTCACCGGCCCGTGTGCCTTCCCGCCAGGCCCAGGACAGCCCCATAGCCCCCCATCACTGCGCGGGGACCACAGGAGAGTGGGTAGAGCAGCGGCAGCAATTGAGCTCTCTCGCCCCACCCTGCTGATCCCCTTCTCACCCTGGGCATCAGGCCAGTATTAGGTGCCATTCTGCCGCCGCCTCCCCTTGGAGGGGCCCTGTCCCTGCCTACTCTTTCATCAGGGCTGGATACCCTTGAGGCCTTTTCAGAAGACTGCCTGAGCCTAGCTCACTTAGTGGTGGGTGGTCCAGCAGGCTGGAAGCTAGGGTCCCCAGGACTCCTAAGATGGGGAGCTGTCGAGAGCACAGTAGTGGACGCCTGGGTTGGGGAGTCAGGGCACCTGTGAATCCAGCCTGAACAGGAACCTAGCTATGAATGAAGGGACCCTGTCCAGGAGGGCACTGGAGGCCACTTTACCTGCCTCTCGCCTTGACTGGCATGTGTCCAGAGGTGCCCAGGGGGAGCTGGTCAGGCTGGTCAGTCAGGCTTGGAGGGGGCGGCACATGTTTCTGGGCTCTTGTCACCATGGAAATGGTAGCAGCAGCAGGGTATGTGTGCAGGGAAGGGGGAGGGGCCGCCACATGGAGCCATGTTAGTAGGCCGGGGATCACCAACATGCCTGGCGCCTGGAACCACTTGACTCCCAGGCCTTGGGCTGGGCAGAGAAATGAAATTTGGGTGTCCAGCACAGCTGTGAAGACAGGGTGGGCGTGGTGGTTCTGGAGTCAGTTGCTCGTACTGGGTCCGTTGGTCATCAGGGTCTGGGACATGTAGGGTGTTTGTTTCCCCGGACCCAAGGCCCAGATTTGGTCAAGAGGCTCAGAGAGAGGTCTGTGGGTCCCTGGGTCCTCTCTTTGGTCCATATCTTCAGGAGTTCCAGGATGGAGTCAAGAAGTAGGAGGGCTAAGCAAGCCCCTAGTGGGAAGGAGAAATGGGATGGGGGGGGAGTAGGGGGGAGTGGGGGGTTGTTCCTGGGGACTAGCAAGGTGGAAGACAGGATCTGGCTGGCAGGATTTCTGGCTCTGCTGCCCTACAAAATGCACTGGGGCCAGAATTCCGGAAGTCGGTGACCCTGGCCTGAGGAAGACCGGCAGCAGTCATGGGCTTGGGGCGCTCACAGACGGGGGTGTTAGCTCTCAACACTTGATGCCGAGGAAACTCGCAGGTACCCCCACTCCTCCAAGGATAGAACTGGGGAGGAGTCTTTGGGCGCAAGTGCACCTGCGGCCCCCTCGGAGCCTGCACTGGCTGTCTCCACCCCGCCCCCACTCATCCCAGTGGTTTCTCAGGCTGTTTTTGGAAGTGGCGGCGCTTACACTAGTGAGCCTCGCCCGCCCCTCCTTCAGCACCACAGACAGGACCGCGGCGCCCCGCCCGGAATCCGATGCTTCGTGCTTCTGTGCAGCGAGGCCGTTGCTATAGAAACGAGGCAACAAAGGGAGGCGGCGCCGGGAGGCGGGAGGCGATGGGGGGGGGGGGCGTCCCGCGGGCTTCTCGCGCCCCCTCCTGCCACGAGCCAGCCGGGGCGTCGGGGACTGGAGCTGGGGACCCCAAGTCTGCTCTCCAGCTAGAGGCCACGACGTTGCCATGGAAATCCCTGTAGAGGCCACCTCACTGTGGGGTAGGGGGCGCCAGGCCCTGCCCCTCCGACCCTGGCAGGTGCGCCCCGCCTGCCGTGCGCCCAGCTGCTGGCGTCCCGGGGGGCGGGCTCCCGAGGCCCCGCCCGGGTCTCGGAGCCAATGGACGTCCGGGGGCGGGCGGGGCAGGCGCGGGCGGCGGCGCAGAGACGAGCGCGGGTGGAGGGCGCGGACCGATCGAGCGCACCGACCATGGCCTCCAAGTGTCCCAAGTGTGACAAGACCGTGTACTTCGGTGAGTATCCACCCGCCGTCCGCCTTCGTCTCCAGTCCCCTGGCTCAGAACCACACCCCATAGTGTACACGGATCCGGGTGCGCAGCTACGGTCTTGGGATGCGCGGCCGGCTGGTAGCAAAGCTCGCCACGCTGCCCACGAGGGTGCGGCCGGAGGCTCGAAGGTGGGGCTGCGCCGGGCAAGGGAGGCCACCTGGGATCCTGGAGAGGCGGTGGCGTCGGATGGGTTCAGAAGCGGCCAGTAGACACTGGGCGAGGTACGCAAGTCCTGGTCTGCCGGGGCCAGGAGCACCCTCCCGGCCAGCCGCATGTTCGGCTCATCGCCCTTCGTCAGTGGCACTATTTGGGGCGGGATCCAACGAAGTCGGACGCCTGGGACTGGTCCGATAAGATCCTCTGGGTCCCGGCATCTCCGCCTCAGTCTGTGGCTGCCTCCCAGCCTGCACATGGGCCAGTAGTGTGACCCGGGGTAGTGAGTGACCCCAGTTCTCACTCCGACCTCTGCCCAGACCGCTGGACCAGGTCTGGGATCCGCTGGGATTCCGGATTCAGTCCAAGCGGGGGCGACCTTGGCCTCCGCCTCTTACATGCTCCAGCTTGCTCCCTTTCTTGGCCATTTGCCTCGGCATTTTCACCCGGGGTGGGGCACTTGTGACACGTAGGTCTCTGTGAGCTTGAGAGTGCACTAAATGACCAGGACCCTGGCCTCTTGGAGGTTAAGGCCATCAGGGAAGGAGGCAATAGTATGCAGGAATGTTTGATTGGTTCCTGCTAAGGTGGCCTCTGAAGGCAGTCACCTTTATCAGGCATCCCTGATCCCTGAACTGCTAACCTCCCGGGGCTATGCTCCTGGTTGAGCAACTTTTCCAGGGTAGCAGTGTCTGCCCACCAAAAGATAGACTTCTGGCTTGAAAAGACAGGGTCCCCTTCTATGGCCATCTCTGAAGAGTAGTGAGTGTCCAGTGGGCTTTTTCAGCTGACAGAAGGAGAGGAGAGGCCACTTTTGTTTGTTCCCAGAGGGGAGGGACAGGATTTGGCTTGGAGTTATTCTGGGTGGCCTGGAGCCAGGGGTTTCCTGTTGCCTCCAGGAGGGGACAGATTGCCTGATTTCAGTCCCTTTCCTACAGAGGGATGTCTGACAAGTCTCAGGGTGAGGACAGTCCTCAGGGCCATTCTTCATGACTTTGCCCCTGGCCAGGCAAGCTCTGAACTCTTTCGGGCCTTGGCCAAGAGGCCACCCGGAAAAAAGCACTCTGCCTGCTTGGGCGCCTCTGGCTCTCGGAGGAAAACAAAGGCTCCTCACAGTCAGCTGGCTTCTGTCCTATGGGAAGGCAATGGGGAGGTGGGGGGTGGTGGTGTGTCCAGAATGCTGCCCTTTCCACCCAGCTAGCCTGTGCTCTGGCAGCCCACATCTGAGTAAACTCTAGGCCAAAGCCTCCCCCCCCTGCTGTGAGACTGATTTCCCTCCAGGTACATGTGGCCAGGTAGAAGACTATCCCCGGCCCCCAAGCTATTAGACCCAATCGATGCTGTATTCCCAATTTACATCTGTAATGGGGCCATCGACCCAACGAGTGAGTCTGAGGGTCAGTTTCCTGCCCCCACATGGCCCACATCCCAGAGCTGGCCAGAGCAGAGTGGTTTTGGCAGCCTTGGGCTGCAGCTGCCACAGCCACTGATGGCCATCCCAACAACCTCCTTATCACTGTGCTGAGAGAGGATGCCAGGCCGGCGTGGGAGCCAAGCCTGCCTGCTATCCAGGTAGCTCTCGCCTATTCTGGCTTGGACCTAGCAAGGGCTCCGGCTCACCTGTGTCTTAGTATCACAAAGGGAACTGAGGGGTACTTAGTTCCAGGGCAAGGGTCTGGGGGATCCTGGAGGACGCCCTGTCCTGACCATGCACAGCAAGTTAGAGCCGCAGAGAGCCAGACTTGGCCGCATGGAGGATCCAGGCTCGCTGCCCAGCGGCAGCACCTCCTGGGGCAGGAGTGGGGGGGGGGGGGGGGGGGGGGGGGGGGGGGGGGGGGGGGGGCAAGCTCTCAGAGTAGGCTGTTCTCCCTCGCATTTGCCAAGGGTATCCAGAGGAGGCTTGGCCCCAGAGGGACCACTGGACCACTCTTGAGAAAGGAAGGCTAGAGAGCTGTTTCTTCTATCCTCAGAGTAGCATGCCAGAGCCAAGCAAGCATAACACCCCTCCCGGCTCCCTCCCCCGCCACTCTGGCCTGGCCCCTTCCCTTTGGAATTCCGGCTCTGCTCTCAGCTCGGGCCCTTCTTCCTGCCCACTTCTCCACCCTTTTCCTGCCTTACTCCCTTGGGGAGGCCCAAGCTTCCGTCCATTGGGATGTGGCTCAGCAGTCATAGCCCTGGAAGTGGGAGGCGGCTGGGGGGTGGGGGGTGGGTTGGTGGTGCAGGAGGAGCAGGAGGCTCCACAATCCTCAGCTGCTGATCACAAACCTTTGGCGCCAAACTGGCAGCTGGAGGCAGTGGGTGGAGGGAGGGCTCAGGGCTTAGGATAAGGGAGCCAAGTAGGGATCCTGCCTGGCGGCTCTGCACAGCCAGGACTGGTGGTCCCTCGGCCCGTGCTGAAGGTGAAGGGCTTCTGTCTCAGTGGTGGGGCTCTGTGTGAGTCAGGTGTCCGAGGAAGGAGCAGGTATAAACAGGTGCTGTCTGCAGTGAGGGGTTAAACCAAGTGCATGGGCTGAGACCACTTAGGCATGAGCAAGGAGAAAAAGGGCTCCTGGATGGCTGAGGGAGTCTCTGTGAACAGTAACCTAATCTTGGAGCCACCACGGGCGGGGTGGGGTGGGGTGGGAGTAGGGCGTGACGTCTACCGGGGGGTGTGACCCGGAGGGGGGTGGGCTTGGGAGCTTCTGGACTGCAGGAAGAGGAACAGGAGCGCTGCCCTGACCTCCTGTGACTACCCACAGCCGAGAAGGTTAGTTCCCTGGGCAAGGACTGGCACAAGTTCTGTCTCAAGTGTGAGCGCTGCAACAAGACACTGACCCCTGGGGGCCATGCCGAGCATGATGGGAAACCTTTCTGCCACAAGCCCTGCTACGCCACACTGTTTGGACCCAAAGGTAAGCGGGGGTTCTCAGCCAGGCCTGAGCTCCTGTGGTGGCTGGATGGGGGTGGGGCCCATCTGCTCCTACCTCCCCTTCCTCCTACCCTGGAAAGCCGTGGAGCAGCTTTGGGTGAAGTTCTGTGTGAGAGATGGGGAGGCCGTCGAGGCCTCCAGCCAGTAACCTCCAGCTGACAGGCTTGCCACCTGCAGGTGTGAATATAGGGGGCGCCGGTTCCTACATCTATGAGAAGCCTCTGACCGAGGGCCCTCAGGTCACTGGCCCCATCGAGGTCCCTGTGGTGCGAACTGAGGAGCGGAAGACCAGCGGACCCCCCAAAGGTCCCAGCAAAGGTGGGATAGATCGGCTCTGGGTGGGGGCTAGGTGTGGGTGGCCAAGGGCCACCCTGACCCTGAGCTTCACACCCTTCCAGCCTCTAGTGTCACCACGTTCACCGGGGAACCCAACATGTGTCCTCGCTGCAACAAGAGGGTGTACTTTGGTAAGTGACTCCCTTCGCCCCTGACTCAGGAAAACTGTGCCTCGGGGGGCCTGGGGGTCACCGCCCTCACCATCCTCCTCCCTCCCAGCCGAGAAGGTGACCTCTCTAGGCAAGGACTGGCACCGGCCTTGCCTGCGCTGTGAGCGCTGCTCCAAGACGCTGACCCCCGGAGGGCACGCCGAGGTAAGGGCTGCGGTTGGGATGTGGGAGCCAAATAGGTCTTCCAGGAGGAAGAGCATACTGGAGCGAGGATTCAGGAACTGGTAGGGTGGGGGCAGGTACCGGAAGCAAGGAATTCTGCGGCAGTGGCGGCCACGCTCCCTGGCCTGGGGTTGCCCTAGGCCATACGGACTTGCGCTCTGGCCACTAGAGGGCAGATTCGTCAGATGTTCCTGGGAGCTCTGCTACTCTGTCAAAGTGAGTGGGCCTGCACATGACCTTTGAAGCCTAAGATCTCAGGGAGGCAGACTCCTACACTGTGAAGGTCTCACTGCGTCTTCGGGGGGACGTAAAGGAAGGGGCGGGGGAGGAGTCTGTGCTCAGCACTCTCTCTATGCTGCCCCCAGCACGATGGCCAGCCCTATTGTCACAAGCCCTGCTATGGAATTCTCTTTGGACCCAAGGGTGAGTATAGTGTGTGTGGGGCGGGGAGGGGGGTAGAGGACCTGGGGATCTCTCTCCTTCCCCAGACCCCTGTTTGTTCCTGCTCGGCCACCCCAGCCACTTTTCTCCCCAGGAGTGAACACCGGTGCTGTGGGCAGCTATATCTATGACAAGGACCCTGAGGGCACCGTTCAGCCTTAGATCTGCAGATGCCGCCCTCCGGGTCCCCTACTCGACCCTGAGGGAGAGTGACCTGCTGCCTAGTCCTGCCTGCCTCAGCGCGTCTTGCCTGCAAGCCCCAGGGCCTCAGTGGCGGAGGAGGAAGCCTCCTGGGTAGTCTCCAGAAGAGCCCAGAATTGCAACCCTGTTTCTCTGTGTGTCACCTCGGCGTGCCCTGTGTTTCCCACTGCCCTCTCTGTGTCTGTGGGCCTCCCGTGTCCCGTGTCCCCGTGTCCCTGATAGCTCTCCGAGGTGGCTGCCCTATGATATCGCTGTTGCCCACACCTGCCCACCAGTATTATTTATGCTCTGCTTGCCGGTGATGGCCATGAGCTCACAGCATTCCCAGGGTGGCAGCCCCCTGTAAGGAGCCCTCTGCTGGTTCCCACACTACGCCCTACCTACCCCTCACGTGGTTCACAGCTACGGAGACTTTTGCTGTCAATAAATGGTTTGGTTTGAGGATTGCAGGACCTGGTGTCTTGTGTGTGTGTGTGTGGGGGAGGTGGGGGTGTATGAACCCGAGACAGTGTCCCTTTGTCTCTTCACAGATGTTCCCTTTGTACTCCTGGGCCCGGTATTGGTAGGGATGGAATCCAGACACATTTCTGAACTGGAAAGACTGACTTAGGCATCAGTGGCCACACTGAAATGTGTGTGGGGAGCGGGAGGGGGCTGCTCTGGGCAGAGGTGAGGAGGTGTCTTGGACAAAGGGGTCCAGATAACGGGACAGGTGGGATCCATTGAAGACATAGATAGCTCTGAAGCATGTAGATGATCCCGGGGATGAGCCTGGGACCCTGGGATACAGCTCTAGGCACCGGAGTCTTGGTGTGTGAGGTCTGACTTGAGAACAAGCAGGAGCCATGTGATAGGGCCTGGAGACAGGTGACCAGAGAGGTCTTGTGCAGAGCGAGGAAAGCTGGTGTGAGCTGGGTGGGACCTGAAGTGGAGGACAGCCTAGGACTGGGCTGAGACGTCCCTGAGAGGTTAGGGGTGCAGTCAGACCCCAGTCTGACCAGGCAGAGCTATGGCCATTTCCTGCTATGTCCACAGGGCAAAGCTTTGGACCACCTTGACTCGCCTCTAGTGGGTGGACCAGGAACAGAATGAGGATAGTCTGCGAGGCGAGGGTCCAGGGATTCATGGGACTGGGTTTATAGTGAGGTAGTGAATCGCGTCTTCTCACGTGGCCCAGGATGTGGGCCTGGAACCCCCTTAGACAGTGGGTGCGGCCTTCCTCCACTTGCTTTTCCCCAAATGCCCACTAGACGGCGCCCCTGTATTTCAGCTTGGCGCTTTGGGGGGACCATCGTCGATCGGGCGCCCCATCTGGTCCTGCTCCATACGCGGTCCAAGCCTCAGATACCTAAAGCGTTTGGGGAAAGTGGCTCCCAGATCTGGCTACTGCCATAGAGCACGAAGCCTTTTCGGGCTTGTCCCTGGCCTCTTGTCCAGCCCTCTAGGCCATTGACCCTGGTGTGTCCTATGGGTAAAGTCGTGTCCCTGGCCGCGGAGCATGGGTCGGCTCCGGTGTCTGGAAGTGCCCCCCGCTCTCCACCCTCGCCAAGGGGAGGTCCAGCAGGTACCTCCCACCAAGACTCCGCTTCTTGGCTGCACATTTGGGATCGAGCTGGGCAGCTCGCGCTCTTCCTGGTTGGCGATGCGTGGGGGTAGAGGGAACGATGAATTGTCCGCCCTCCGGAGCAGGAAGACTTCTCAACCCGCTCGGCTTGGAGGAAACAGAGGGGGAGGGGCCCGGGCGGGGGCCCTCCCCAGTCCTGAGCGGGACCTTTGAAGGAAAGAAGGGGACTCCCCTGGCTGGGCCACGAGGGCAGGGGTCTTCCCGGGGCAGATCCGTCCCCGCCCTGCGGCCAGCTTTGCTATGCCTCAGAGGGGCGGGGCAGGATCTGGCCTTTTCCTGCCGGGGAAGATGACGCTGCGTGGTGTTTGTTTCCAAGGAGTTGTCGTGGAAACGCGGCGGCGCTGCGACTGTTTGTCTGGGCCTTGTTGCCAGGCGGTGTCCACTGCATCACCAGGTCGCGCGTCAGTGGCACCGGCTTCCGATGCACCCAAGATGGAGGAGAGAATGGAAGTCTTTGTCTCCGGCATCCGCCCTTCTCTGGGAGAGTGCTCCGAGCTTCTCTCTCCCAAACGAACACCTAGACTGGGAGATGGCTCTAGACGCCATCTGACCACCTCACCTCATTCCAGATTCTGCCAGCTGAGTCCAGGACACCACAAGGAGCCTCACAGCACAGGCTACTCTGCACAGTTTAGTTGTGTTCCAGGAGTTCCCGTGACACACTCTATCAACCACGCACCACCCACCTTTCTGGCCTTGCTGTCCTCTCCAGCCAGGGTCCCCCAGCCCCTCTCTGGACCCCTACTGGTATGCTCAGCTGGACTTCTTTGTGGGGTGCACAGCTTATGGCTCTCTCTCCCCACTTCACTTAGCCTTAGATCCTCTGGCCAGCATTCCAGACCCCCAGCATCCTCCTTCCTGCCTTGACTTGGGTCTCTGGGGCCCTTCTGCCAGAGTCTTCCTCAAGCTCCGGGCTCCCCGCGGATCCCATTTATCTCAGGGTCTGGCCGGTCCTGCTCACTGGCTGCGGGCTGACGCCTGTGGGCATGGTATCAAAAGAGCGCCATGTGCTAGTGCTCTGACTACTGAGTGGGTGCAGCGCAGGCTGGCTAAACGCCCAAGGTGCCAGGTGTGGGCGGCCCTTTTTCCCAGGGCCAGGCTGGCCGTGGGGGTGGGCTCCGGGCCATGAACGAGGCCTCAGCTGCTGCTTTGGGAAAGCTGGAATTCCAGGCAGTTCTGCCTGAGCTTTGGTTCCAGGAAGCAGTCCCTAGGCACGGGGCCCAGCTGCGAGGAAGGCAGGGTTCAGGGTACCCCATCTGACCAGATGATGGGTCCTAGGTCGGGAGTGCATACTACCGCTCTACCACCCCACCTCTTGGCCGTGCCATGTTACTTCTGGAAAAGGAGGAAGCTAATTGCTGACCACCTAAACCTGAGGGTCAGAGGAAGGGCAGGGTTCAACCCCCTCTCACTGGCTAACCATCCCAGCAGGCCCACCCTAGGGCCAGATCTTATGCCAGATGGGGGGTCCCTTGAGACACGCTGCTGAAAATAGGCCCTGGGAACTTGTAAATGTCCTCAACTGGTCCGAGGGAAGGGAGAGGGAGGGTGGTGGGTGGGCCCTAGGGAGGCCTGGGCTGTGTCTGAGTGTGCTCAGCATGTTCTCTGAAGTGTGTGCTGGCGGGATATGCACCTGAGAGCAGAGGACATTGGGCAGGCTCAGCTGGCCTCCAGCCCTTAAATGAACATCTCCACACGTGACTACACTCTTAGGTACCAGCAGAGCCAGTAGTAGATAAGGGTAGTTTTTGCCACACTGCAGAGGCCCTTCCCTGGGTTGTTGACCTTTCCTGATTAAAGCGGGTACTGAGACTCCTCCGTGGTCATCAGCCCACAGGGCTCACCCCTACCTTCTCTGGCTGGCCTCAGGGTGTGGCATTCTAGCCGGTGGAGGGCGCATAGGTGTGTGCAGAGAAGGCTTGGGCAGACACACGACGATTCTGCAGCCTCCCCTCCCCCACACCCTCCATGCTGCCCCGTACAAGCAGTGGGGAGCTCTGTGTGGGGCCTGTCATGCTTGTACAGAGCACCCCAGGCCTCCGCTTGGCCTGATAGCCCTGGTCGGTTGTCCTCCTCCAGGACTAGCCTGGGATAGAGGAAGCAGGTGAGTGTGGAGCTGGACCTCAGGGAGCCTGGCAGGACCGGCACCAGCTGAGCCCCACTCAGCCCAGAGCTGGGGTGAGGGCCAAGGCTAGCAGTCTGGGTAGAAGCAGCATCAGGGGAACATTTGCTGACATTATGGAAGCTTTGGAAGAGTTCTTGTGGTGTGTGTGTGTGTGTGTGTGTGTGTGTGTGTGTGTGTGTGTGTTGTTTATTTTTGAGTCAGTGTCTCATTTAGTCCAGGCTGGCCTTAAATGTTTTTATGTAACTGAGGCTGACTTTGAATTCTTGATCCTCTTGCCTCCACCTCCAAATTCTGAAAAAGAGTTCTCAGGCCAAGAGCAGACTCGTGCCTCAAAGTCTTTTGGTGCAGCTGGGGGGTGGGGCAGGTAGAGCTTTTCTTTCTTTTCCTTTCTTCTCTTTCCTCCTCCTCCTCCTCCTTCTTTTTCTTCAAGACAGGTTTCTCTGTATAGCACTAGCTGTCCTAGAACTCACACTGCAGCAGGCTGGCCTCTAACTCAGAGATCCGCCTGCCTCTGCCTCCCGAGTGCTGGGATGAAAGGCGTGCGCCACCACTGCCCGGCTGGGGTAGAGCAGGTAAAGGAAAACCACCAAAGCCGTAACTCAGGTGAGAGTCCAAGTAACCTTGAAACGTTTGTTTATGGCAGAACACAGTAATTATTTCAGACAGACCACGAACAGTTAGTTTCGACTTATACCTTTTTCAGTTATTTTAGCTTATGTTAAGCTTGTTTAAACATTAATTATTCTGGTTAATACATCTGGACCACGGTCAAGGTCATAGAAACCTCAAATGTGTTTCCAAGGTAGACACAACTTTTGAGGGACTACAGGGCTGAGAACGGAGAAAACAAAGATGGTGTTACCTCATTTTCCGCTTCCTCCCCTTCCTTCCTCTCCTCTCCTCCTCCTCCTCCTCCTCCTCCTTCTTCTCTCTCTCTCTCTCTCTCTCTCTCTCTCTCTTTCTTGACAGAACCTGGCTCTACAGACCAGGACATTGAACAGGTGATCCTCCTGCCTCAGCCTCTGGAGTGGCCCTAGCCCATCACAGGCCTGTGGAACTGTACCAGCTGTGTATGTCTTTGTCTGTGTCTGAGTGGATATGTCCAAATCGAATGTCTGAGAAAACTGCTGTGTACCAACAAAGAAGACATCCGCCCTTGGCCCTTGCCTTGGCACCCCTCCCATGACCATGGAAACAGGAAACAACATTAGGGAAGGCCAAGAAGACTCTGGTTTTTTTTGGGAGGAGGGTTCCCTAGTGCAGGGTTGGGCCTGAATCCAGGAAGGAGCTATCTCTGGGGTGGGGCAGTGGATGGAAGGAACATGGCCAGGGTCATTGACCAACTTGCCTTAGCAAGTGTCTTTTGGGTGGGAGGTGGGAAGGGCCTGTCAAGGAGTCCCTGGGTGCAGCTGGATAGAAGCATGGACAGCCATTTGCTCTGAGGCCACACACATGACCCTACTAGAGCCATCCCACAGGACATCACCCCCACAGGTACGCCTGCAGGCCCGGGGTTATGCATGTGTGTCCAAGCACTCAGCCTCCTGCACACACCCTACCAGAGGGAGGCAGTCTGCCAGGTGCCCTGTGCCTCCACCCAGTGCCCGCCCCTGGCAGGCAGTAGTTGGCTTCTTCTACGGATAGTGAGGTAGTTTGCTTTGTGTGTGGCCAGGCCCCAGAATCTGTGATGACAGACACACCACCCTTCTAGATGGTTCTTGGCCTCCCTGGTCTCCAGAGCCTCTGCTCATTCCCACCCCCCCTTTGCCGCCTCTCTTCTCAGTAGGCTAGGTCAGGAGCTATAGAAGTTTGGACCTTTTTTCAACAAGTAGGCAAGAGAATGGGAGTCTCTCCTTTAGGACGTGTGCACCCCTGCTCTGGAGCCCCCAGCCTGTAGTAAAGGGTCTTCAAAATGTCTTTGTAGATCTGGGCATTTGTGGAGTCCCAGTTTGGGGCAAAACTGTGGCCTCGAGTTAGGGAGCCCTGGGAAGAGGGTAGAGAGTTCTGGGGGAGGAGTGTTTGTACCTGGGGGTAGTCCTTGAAGTGTGGCTTTTATATTGGACACATGGCGCATCAGCAATCCCACACACAGCTTGGGAGCTCTGATCCCCACCCCAGCCAGTAAGATAAAGGTACCCTAGATCCTCGCCACAGGGTCAGGACTGAAGACTGATAATGGTAGGCGAGTGTGAACAAAAGGCTCTGTCGGGGCTGAGCCCAAGACACAGGGTCCCTGAGCATTGTCAAGGATGGTCTTCTGAGCTGCCAAGAGCGGCCACCGGGCCTGGCCTGAGATGAGGTCTTGTTTTTAAAGGAGTGTGTGAAGGGCAGCCGAGGACTCTGGTGATACGGTGTGAGAACGCCCGGCTAACAGCAACCACACCATCAGTGTGTTAGGCAATGTTCAGAGCCCAGCCCCCATGGAGGCCTGAATGTAGTGACCAGGTCGGTCTGCAAGTCGGCAGAGCACTCTGAAACCCAGGTTCCCTGGGTCAGTGCAAGCGCCCCCGCCCCCCACACTTTATTTACTACTGTAGGGGTAGTCCAGTCTCTACCTGGTACCAATCACGGCTCAGCCTCTTCCTTAGCTGGGCGGTGGACTTGGACCGCTGATCTCCTTCACCCAGAGATAAGGACTGTTCTTCTTCATCAGGGAGGCGACCTGGGCGTGGCCTCGCCCTGCGTTCCTTGCCTTGACCTCTATTCTCCAACCTCGAACTGATGGGTCCTCAAACTTAGATTCTGAAGTCCCTGCGGCAGGAAGGGCTTTTCCTGAAGTCAGAAGTCCCCTCTTCTGAATTCCCCTGGTGAAGTTGTGGCTGCAGTCCAGTCAGCTGGCAAAGGTCAGGGTGTTCACTTGCGTCTGGCCAGGGTGGACCTGCTGGCGTCTGCGTGGGTTAGAGCTGGGAAAGGCTGGGAGGGGTTAGATCTACAAGGCTGAGACTCTCTGAATGCTCTCAACTCTGTTTCTCAGAGGAGGCAGGGTCAAAATACGTGTAGAATTTTTGAATGATGTTTTGCATCTATCTGCGCTTGAATTTACTTTGTGTGTGTGTGTGTGTGTGTGTGTGTGTGTGTGTGTGTGTGTGTGTGTGTGTGTGTGTTTTGAAACAGGGTCTCACCCTAGAGACCAGATTGGCCTCACCAGTTTTAGTAGGACGGGCAATCCCACCACGCCCGGCTTTATCTGAACTTCAGAAGTTTCTTGTGCCCACCCCGGTTCCTGCTAGCTCTCGCAGGTGCAAGGAGCAGGGTGACCCTGATAGGACGCTTCTTCTTTCGAGGGGAGGACCCAACGTCCGCTATTCAGGACCGCGGGCTTGCCCTGCCCCAGGCAGGGGGCGGGGCCTAGGCCCACAGGAGCTGCCCGGCTCCTCTGAGGGTCCCCAGAAGACCCAGCGCCCCGGCATGGCACTTGGCCAGTTTGTCCTGACAGAGGCGAGCATGGGCCAGATGACCATTCTTGGCCAGTTGGTCAGGATCGGAGATCCCAGGGGTCCAAGTCCCGGACTCAGGGGGCGGGGCAGGGGCGGGGCCTTAAAGGGCAGGGCCCGTAGGGTCCCTGAAAAGCGCGGACCAGGCAGCCGCCACCCAGTCCAGAGCCTACAACCTACTTCATTCTAATTGCAGCCGCTTGTGCAGGACCAAGTTCCGCCATGCCGAAGTGCCCCAAGTGCGACAAGGAGGTGTATTTCGGTGAGCATGCTTGGGTGTCCCAGCCTCTCTCCACATGCCCGCGGGCGCACCCCAGGCAATACGCGGAAGCGTGGCCCGGAGGCGGTCAGTGCTGGGTTGTTCAGGTGGGCGGGAGTGCCTAGAGTCCCGAGCATCGCCTAGGATCGAACCCATGGACCTTGTCCGGGGCGTGAGGGACAACTTGGTGCTAAACGGAACCGACATCTGTGCCCACTCGCTGTCTTATGTTTTGGGGGTCGGTCTCCTAGTCTCCTTGCCTCTGGGTCTCCAGGTCTCCATGACTCCCATGATTTTGGGTCTCCCCCTCTCTCGGTGACCCTCGCCCCTGGATCCGTCTGTCTCTCCGTCTGTCTCTCCCCCGCTTCTCTCTGCGTGCCCTGGGCGGGATCCCCGCGGGATAGGAAGGAACGCAGGACTGAGGCGGCCCCTCCCAACGCTAAGTAGAAACAGACGCGGAAAACCACGTCCGGGGGTGCGATCTCCGGTGTGCTCATTTTCGTGCTCTTCGCGCGCCCTAGGGCTCCCCATAAGAGGGTGTTTGATTAAGTCCCTTCGCCCCCGCCGTGGAGAAGGGTGAGCTCAGGTTCATTTAGCCAGCCACCAGCACGGAGGTCGGAGGTCCTAGAGGACTTAACCCGGAGGACCTAGCCTTAGCTCCTCCAGACTTGCCCTCCAACACCACTATGCCTTGTCCCTCAAGTCTGAAGGCGTCCTCCTGTTCAGCCCTACAAGCCCTCGGGGGTCACATCCCTGTGGGAGCGCTTGGAAATGCCCCCACCAATGAGCTGGGGTGGGGTGGGTGGCCCACTCCTTTAGTCCCAGCACTTGGGAGGCAGAGGCAGGAGGAGCTCTGTGAGTTCAAGACCAGCCTGGTCTACAAAGTGAGTTCTAGAAGAGCCAGGGCTGTTACACAGAGAAACCCTGTCTCAAAGAACCTGAGGTGGGGGGAAGAGAAGAGAAGGGGAGGGGAGAGGAGAAGAGGGAAGAGAGAGAGAGAGAGAGAGAGAGAGAGAGAGAGAGAGAGAGAGAATATCCCTCCAGTAAGGCGACCCTTCTGGTTTGAGCCGCAGGACTGGCTGAGAGGACCAGGGGTGCCTCCTCTATGGAGCTCAGGGGCAATCTGGGGACCCAGGGTGGGCTGCCACATTGAGAGGATGAAGCCTAGCTGTGTGTGCAGCAGAAGAGGGCGTCCAGGGACCCCAGGGTCTCAGTGGGTTTGTGCTTTTGCAGCTGAGCGAGTGACGTCCCTAGGCAAGGACTGGCATCGGCCCTGCCTGAAGTGTGAGAAATGTGGGAAGACGCTGACCTCGGGGGGCCATGCCGAGGTAAGGGACCGCCAGGGGCCAGAGGGAGGAGCAGTGGGGGGCTGGGATGGCAGCCCCCCCCTCATCTTCTTCTCCTTGTAGCATGAAGGCAAGCCCTACTGCAACCATCCTTGTTACTCAGCCATGTTTGGGCCCAAAGGTATGTGGTTGGACCTCTTCCCAAACGGGCCTCCCATCTCTCCTGGCCCCCTCCCCCCAACCCACCGATCTCCTGTTTATTTATTTTTTTTTTGTTTTGTTTTGTTTTCAGGCTTTGGGCGAGGTGGAGCTGAGAGCCACACTTTCAAGTAGACCCAGGTACTGTAGCTCCATCTCCAGTCCCACCCAGTCCACCTGCCTGCAGGATGGGCTCAGCCCTAGTGGAGTAAATAACAGAACCTGGAGATGTGCTCACTTTTGTCTGTTTCTCCTTACAGGTTGTGGAAACCCTCTCTTCCCGCCCAGGCACATGCCAGGCCTTAACCCCGGACAGCGGGGGGCTCTCAGTAGCCCTTCATGCCCTTAATAAACCTGATCTTTTGGAAGACCTGTGTGCTTGTCTACCAGTGTGTGTTGGAGGGGAGCGGCCGTGGGAGCCTCAGCTCCAGGCCTGATGCAGGGCACTTGCTTTTTCTGCTGCTGCTGCTGTGGACATGGCCGCCCACTATCCTTTGCGGGAGCAGGAGTTCAGGTCTACCGCTAACTTCGGGACCCATGAAGCTCCTGTAGCCCTTAGTGGTTCTGGCCTGGGGTGACAGGGTCAGCAGGAACATGGAGCCTGGGAGTGGGTGGGGCTGGCCACAGTTCAGAGGGTGAATCAGTGGGAGCTGGTATGGTTCCCTTTTTGAGATTCTTTCGGGGGGGGGGGGGAGTTGTGTGGACTTCTTGCCTATGCCATTTCCACTTCCTGCAACCCCACCCTGTCCCCAGAAGTGTACCCTGGTGGATGGTCTGCAGCTGCTCAACGGATACCACATCCATATTTGCCCCCCCCCAATGCCCTGGGTGGCCTGGTGCTCTAGTAGAAGTTGAGGGCTGGCTCTGTGGTACTAGGAAGGGCTTTCTGGAAACTCTTGTAGAGCGAGGCAACCCTCTGCTTCCCCTTCCCCCAGGCCACTGGCCATCCAAGACCCTTTGGGACTTAACAAGGCCACAAAGGTCTCGGCTGTGAGTGCCCGGTGGCTTTGCCTGTCTTAGTCTTTGGCACCTATACTGCAAGAACGAGCCTGATAGGCTGTTGGTAAGTCCTGTAAGTGGCCTACAGTGAAGTGCGTGTGTGCGTGTGCGTGTGTGTGTGTGTGTGTGTGTGTGTGCGTGTGTGCGTGTGTGCGCGTGCGTGTGTGCGTGTGTTACTGGGCGACTCTGGAATCCCAACAGGTAGAGGCTGTAGTGCTTTAGGGGACAACAGTACGGAGCAGAAGAGGTCAACCTGAGATCTTAAGAGTTTCCTCGTGGGAGGGGTGTGAGTGTTGGGACAGACCTCCAGGTCTTGGGTGTCCAACAACACCCGCAGAGGACCTGCAAGAGACGCGTGTGGGAGAAGGGCAGAAGCTCTCCTTGCCCTGTTGTCTCTCACCCTGGAGGACCCTGTCTCCCTCATAGTCGCAGCCCCCTGCACCCAGCTCCACGTCTCCCAACTGGGGCATCCGTGGGGTGAACTCTCAGCAGCAACCCGAGGCCTGTGGGAACGAGCAGATCAGGCGGGGCAAGTGCATAATATTGCAAAGAGGCTTGGAGAGGCAAAGGGCTCCTTAAGGGTGTATCCGGAGTTCCTTGGCACCGTAGCCAACACTGCGCGGTCTTTTGTGTTTAAGGTTGCAGCACACTGCGAGTGTGAGGGTGTGCAGAAGCAGGGCCGAGACCCAGGGCGGCAGGAGCAGGTAGGGCCTAACTGGGCTTGGCCATTTGGCACCAGCAGCCCTAGCTGCTTGGCAAGGGCCCAGGAAGGACACCCCGAGGCAGGATAGCCGAAGGCACCCGGATGAGCGAGGAAAAGTCTGCAGCAAGATGTCATATGAGGGGGTAAAGCGGGGAGCAGGAGCACAGGGGAGGTTAAGGTAAAGGTGAGCCAACGGTCCCGCACTTCCGGGGGGCGTGGCCACCCTGCCGGTGCGGTTAAGGGGGCAGGTGTCCAGAGTCCTTTGCCCCTCCCTCTCACCCCAGTTTCCTCTTCCGCGCCGCACCCTCTCCCTCTCCACCTGCCTCTCTCCCGGCTTTATTGAGACGTAGAGCACACATAGTACTGTCCACTGTCCCAGTCATTTCTGGTGACATCGAGTGCACAAAGCTTGGCTTGTGCCCGCTCGAGCGCACAGGCCCCCGCCCCCACAGTCCCGCCGGCGCGTCCCGGGATCCCCGGAGGCGGTGTCCGGCCTTTGTCCGGCCCTCCTCCACACGCACAGGAGCATTCACTGTGCCCTCTCGTCCCCGGTTTCCTACAGAGGCTGTTCTGGTAAAGGTTGTGGCCACGTAGCAGCCTCATGCCCATTGCTGGGCACAATTCCGGTCCTGCTTGTGGTGCGGGCGTCTTTCCCCCCGCTCTCCAGGTTGGACTCTGGGTTCACTCTGCCATTGTCGTGGAGCTGCTGTGTACGTCCACGTTTTTGTTTTTTGTTTTTCCTTGCAGGGTTCTCACGGCTTACCGGGATCGACCCTGTAGGGCGCGAAACTTAAGTTCAACCTTACAAGGAGGTGGCCGCACCCTTATCTACAGTGGAGAATTTCCCTCACAAGCTCGTCTTCTGGTGGCTGTAGGGAGGGTGACAACGGGGACAAGGATGTCTGGGGCTGCACATGAGAGGGAGGGTGGCATTCTCGGGAGACTTCTGGCGACGTGGCCCCCGGAACTCCCCACCCAGTTTGCGGGGCTCGGCTTCGCCTCCTCGCGGGTCCCTGACGCCCCCTGGCGGTGAGCTCCGGGGCGGCTCCGCGGAGACCCGGCCTCCGTGTTTGGGTGGAGCCGAGCTGCTTCCTCCGCGCCTCCGGGGGACGCTCGGGCGCATGCGCGCCCTCCAGCCCCGCGCTCCTGGGAGGTCTCTGGGAGGTTGGCAGCTGGAGGTGCTGATTGGTGAGTTCCAAAGCCGGCGGAGTTGGCAGATCCAAGGCCCCGCCCCCTCAACCAGACCCCGGAAGTGCCTGTCTACGGGATAGACTGGTAGGCACTCAAAGGCCAGGCGCACCGCTCATTGGACTTGGGCGGAGAAGGCGGGTCCCAGCGCAAGCCGTGATTGGTCGCTGATCCTGGCCTGGCCCGGGCGGGCGATCCGAGAGTGCCCGGTGCTGGCTGGCTGCATGGGGCGGCGGAGGCGCCGGGTGGAAGGGGCGGCCAAGGCCCTGCCTGAGGCTATCGCTGCGCTGAGTCGGTCCCTGCCCGCTGGGCCCAGCCCCGAAATCTTCCGCCGCGCAAAGTTTGACCGTCCAGAGGCGGTGAGGCTACCAGGGTAGGCGGCCGGGGGCGGGGCAGGCCTCGTCCTGGGCTGACGTAGGTGATACCTTGATGTCCGCTGATTACAAACTCCTTCGCTGCAGGCTCCAGTGCTCTGGCAGCTTCTCTTCCGAGTGCTCTCACCGCTTGCTGCAAACAGTGCCTTGACCGACCTTGCTCCAGGTAAGCCGGGTCCTCTTACCTGGACCTTGCTCCAGGTAAGCCACGCCCCCGAGGCCCTTGTTTCTACTCCCCCAACTCGGTCGACCCAGTTCTGCCCTGACTCAGTAAGTCCCGCCCCATGAAAGCTCCTCCTTTGTCTACCCCTCTTTATTCAACTCGAATGCCCCCTTGTTGCTGGTACCTGCCTCTCCCCTCTCGTGACAGCTCTGTCCCGCCCACTTCTTTAAGCCCCGGTTTCCACTACCCGTTTTCCCTTGCTCACCTGGCTAGCCGTGGCTCTGAGACTGGCTAGACCCTGAGCCAACCCATCACAGAAATCCTGCCTCCCGGGCCTCCTTTGTTCGCTCTGAGCGGGCTCTCAGCTTAGGGGTGCTCCCAGGTCCCCGGAAGGACCCAGGGGACATCTCCAGGTTGGCACCCCGTGAGCTGGTGGTTTCCTATTCCAGAGGCCCAAGCCCATGTGGTGAAGTCAGCACTGGGCTCCCAAGGCTACCCCAGGTCTGCGCTGGTACAGTTTCCTGCGGGCAGTTCTCAGGGAAGCCGGGAACTGCTGCTGGCCCTGGCCTGGCTCCTGGCACGAGGACCTTTGCTTGAGCAGCTGCTTGCCCAGACCCGGGTGCAGTTGGGGGATCAGTTGCCCCAGTGTGAGGTGAGTATGTAATGAGGGTGTCTCAGCCCAACTCTGCTCAGAAACCCCTGTCCCAAGTCCTTGGTGCAGTCCTCAAAAGGGCTCATCCAGCTTCCGGGCTGAGGATACAGAGGCTTGATCCTGTGCTAGCAGCATGCCTCCTTGTCCTGGTCCTTCCTTTAGGATGAGATGGGCTGTATAGCAGGGCTGACTCTTGTTCCCTCTCCAGTGTGAGGTCCTGGCCAGCCCTGGTCATCCTGCACCCCATGTGGAGACAGAGAGTCCTGTGGATCTCCGACTAGTGGAATGGCTGATGGGAAAGCTGCGGTTTAGGTGGCGACGCCTGATCTCCAGTCAGCAGGAGCAGTGTGCCCTCCTCAGCAAGGTAGTCCAGACACATGGCTCTTGTTACTGTGCCCCAGGCTGCCTTTCTGCCCCAGGCTGCCTTTCCCTGTGGTCCATCTCTGTCACCACTGTTGGCTCACGGGGCTGCTGGGCTTCCCTCAGCTCTGGCCTTTACGGTAAGTCTCACCTTTACAAGCAGAGCAGGACCCTGCTTTACCTGTGTCCTGGTGAGCAAGGCGTGGAAGCCCTCAGTTAAACGGTCTAGTTCCCCTCCCTCTGCAGCTCCCCACCCCCAGCATCACGACCCTGAGCCCAGCTCTGTCCTTTGTGGCTCTACGTGGTCTCTGAAGGTGCCTGTATCCAGCTAAGAGAAGTCTTGCTAAGGGCGTGTGTGGGGTGAAGTCAGCACTGGTGACTTCTCAGTCTGGGTGTGTTACTTGTTGCAGATCCACCTGTACACCCGTGGATGTCACAGCCAACAGAGCCTTGGCCATCTTTCTGTGGCTGAAACAGAGATGCTTAGAGACCCAGAGGGCAGCCAGCAGGTGAGGGTTGGCAGGGTGCTGGAGTGGGTGCTGCCATGGTGGGGTGTGGTCTGTTGGGGGACACCTGGGTTGGTGTTAGGCTTTGACTTCTATGTCTCTGGGTATTTGTGGGTGACCGGTGTGTCCCTTAGGATTGTCCCTGTCCCGTTGTTCGCCCACCTATCCAGGAAGGCAGACTAGGTGTTGTGTGTGTCTGTTATTTGTCCAGCATGGTCAGGGTCGGAGGGATATGGTGTCCAGGAGGGGACCACTGGATTGGAGGAACAGTGATCTCGGGTCTGAAACGAGCTACCAGCTCTCCCTGTTGAAGCTGGAGGTGTTTAAAGGCTGAGTGTGAGTGGGGATGGCTGCTCTTCGGAGCCTGGGGCTCGACTCGGGGGTCTGTGTGGGGAGTCTGGGGTAGACAGGGGTCTGTGGGGAAGTCTGGGGTAGACAGGGGTCTGTGGG